TCGTGCTGCATTCTCATGTTGTCGGGAACGCCCCGTGTTGCTCCAGCTTAGAAAGGAACTGCCTCTTGCAAGGTATTGACGGTACCAGCGACTCCCGGCGCCTCGAGCTCGGAACGCCGAGACTATGGCAGCAAAAATCGCCATAGGAACGTGAAATATCTCCAAGGTACACTTGCTGGACGTTGGAATGACTGGCGCGGGAGACCATGCGCGACACCATGTGAGAGTGAGAGGTCAAGGCTCTGGTAAGTTCTCGCGACACAAGCTGTGCTGCAACAGTCCCATTTTCCATCTCTGTTCGTGAAGCTGCCCCATTGCTTCGAATCATGCCTGTGTGTGGAAATGCTCTGGCGGCAAGAGATGCAAGTTCTTTTTTCGTGGAGCGTTTTATCTCACATTCGTGAAATGTCAACCTTTCCCAACCGTTTCCAAGCCGGCAAGGCAGGCTGGTCGGGTTCAGTGGCACTGCGTTCGAATTCTGCCGTCGGAGTGAGAGACCGGTCGGCTCCTCTCGCAGCACGACAGGGCTGCGCCAGTTGTCGTGACGCTTGTCCCATGCCGTGCGGGCTTTAAATGGATAGCGGACAACGTGAGCGCTGCTGACGTGACTCGACGTGCGTCCTCCATACCCCTGCACACCACACGCGACCTTGACGAGCGATTCACTTGTACATTCCAAGACGACATGACCATCCTCTTCGCGACCTCGACGGCAACACACCTTGCTCCTTGGTCTGGTCCGACGGTTTCACAAGGCCACCCATCACTGTCCAATGAAGACCGGCACTCGCGTGCCCATCCTCGGACCTGTCAACGGCGAGAGGCTGGGCCATCCATCCATTCGCTATGACAGGATCGTTGTTTAGTGGGTGGGAGGTGCAGCCGCTGCTCCACTTCTCGCGCGATCCGAACCGAATTCGCTTGTGCACCCGATCGCATTCGATGGCGCTTGCATGTGCAATGACATCAACTTCCGTTGACCGTCGCCATCGTGTTCGAACATGTACGCTGAGCAATGAGAAACGGCATCCACTGCAGCCCAACTGCGCTGACCAGTTCGTTCTATCGCTAGGTGCCTCCTCGCCAGGAAAAACCATCCCACGCTTTCCTTCCACCGCTGTGTTTTGCCGGGTGGGGCACAAGTAGCTGGCTGCCCTTTGGGCAGCCCGCAAGTTTCCACCCCTCATGTTTCGTGATTGGGATGACCGGAGGAGTTGCCGAAAGGCCATGATTCAGAGCGCGCATGGGACTCTCGTGACAGGACAACTGGACCAAACGAGACATGAGCGGACTAGCCTAGTCCTTGTTCATGAGTCAAAACCACTTGACTATAGAAATCCACGTCCAGACACGCCGACTGTGCGTGCGCCGCCACCGTGCCCCATCCGCGGGGTTTACGCACGCCTACAACGACGCATTCTGGTGAGCCGTGTATCACATGCGCGGCCGCACACGTCACGTGGCAGGTTCCTGCTTCGTCCCTGTCTTCCGGCGACCAATCCAGGCACGGCATGCCGACTGCTTCTCCGCGACGCCCTTTCAATTCGCCAGCGATCTTATTTGATTTTTCGACAAGTTGACAATTCAACCCAATTTCCATACAAAAGCATAGGCACGGAATATAGTATTTATAATATTATTGGGGGTTCTCGAAGTTTCGTCGCCCGAGTTTATAAATACGTCTGGGTCGGCCAGAGCGCGTTCTGATTGGGCGAGACGGGATCCTGGCCGGAATCCTTCGAAAATATCCCATTTTGTCTTGATTAAAGTATACCCGTCGAAACCAGCGCCAGAAACGAACGCGAGGGGTGGCACCGCGACGCCGCAGCCACTTCCGATTCTTCCCGATGAACCCCCAAAGCAAGTATGGGGGACTCTCCATGCGCAACATTATGATCCGCAAGAAGCTCGCCGAGCGCAAACGATTCGACTCGGCTGACTATGCGATGCAGCAACAAGTGTCGGCCACGACGACCAACCACGACTCGACAATCGGCGCTACCCGACCGGTGAACTTGCACATTACCACCAACCCCGTGATTCTCCAACGCGCGTCGAACACACCGGTAGAACACGTGCAATCTCCTGTTGTGCAGATTGGGATGGCCGCGTTCTTTGACAGCATGAGCGAGGACACGTGTTCCGCCACCGCGCCGAACTCCCCCTCAGTAGACTCCATGACTCTGTCGCCCGCCAACCGTCAAACGACTGTATCTTCCTCCGACACAACAGTCGCCAAGGCGCAGCAGCAAGCCAAGTACGGCGCGCTCTCCGCACGCAACATTATTCTACGGCGCAAACTGGCGCACGGAGGTCGATTCGATTCGGCCGACTACCAGCTGCAACAGAACGGGCAAGGTGAATTAGATGGAATTCCAACAGAAGATTTGTTGCCACTGCCTCAGAACGATAAGGATATCGAAGCCACTGGTGCTGCGGATATCCCCATGTCCGTTGAACCCCACACGGCAGCATCGACGCAGGTGTCCAACGGCCCGACCAACTACGGCAAACTATGCGCGCAACACATCCTCATTCGAAAAAAGCTAAAGGAACGCAAGCGATTCGATTCGGCGGACTACTCGATGGAACACAGCAAGGGGGTGTCGGCGTCGTCTACCTCAGCCGCTGTCGCTGCTCAAGTTGCGCGGTCCATGGCCGCCGATCAACATCAAGCTAAACTCCTCAAGATCTCGGTCGAGTCCCCCAAACCCATCAAAGACGCGAGTGGGAACTGCAGCAGCCGAGACCTGTCCTCTCCCACGAGTCGCGTTGTGTCAAGGAACGTCTTCATCCAGCGCAAGCTGCAGGAACGCAAGCGTTTTGACTCGGCAGATTATTTTCAGGAAAAGCAACGACAGCAGCAACAACACCCATAATTTAACACTCGCATTATTGGTTATGTCGAGCCATCGTCGCTTGATCGAGCACAGAACGACATCCATGACAACGTCATGGCGGGGTGACCCCCACGCCTGGGCAGCTCCGATGAACTGTGCCGGACGCCTTCCCGCCGAACCGGCTGGTCTCCCGACTACCCATCAATACGACGACATGGGAATGCCGATTGGGGCCAGCAGTTCAGCGTCGTTCGCGTCGTGGATGATGGTTGCAATGCCTTTTCCCACTCTTGAACAAGCCTCCGCTTCGCGGATGAGTAGGATGGTACCAACCATGCCGTACTTGGTACTTGTAGACATGGCTGGGATGACCGCGCCGTCAGCCAGGGTGTCGACATTGTTTCCATGCCCTTCCGCGAATGAAAACTCCTTTCTCATGGGGGATCCATTGTTCGAGTCAAAGGATGAGACGCCATAGGCTCCCATATGTGAGTGCGGCGCCTGTCCATCCACTTGCTTGCACCATGATGCGTTGACGAAAGAAGTAAAGATAAACATGGTCGTTCTGTCCCTCGTCGTTAGTCCTGTCGGCTTTTGGTGTCGCCGCCGTGGTGCACGCTTCATTGAGATTTCAGGATGCTGGCGACGCAGCTTTGCGTTGCCAGCCATGCATTGCTTCGATACAGCGCAGCACCGCCATGATCCCGCGGCGAACAGGTGTGATGCCCACCATACGAACAGCAATATTTATTGAATTATTTGTTTTTTTAGCCAATCCGAGATGATTATTTTCACGTTTTTATCCAATGGTTTTCAGTTCCATCTGGCGTCTGCAGTTCTGTGTCATCGAAGGATGTCGTCGAGATTTCCGCGCGCCGCTCATGCGTTCAAGTCCACGTTTCCGTGGCTGTATATGGTAACGCCCAGCATCGCATCAACCGACGTGCTGGTGGATACGGTGGAGAAGGCCCTTCGTGGGGGTGTAAACATTGTACAGTTGCGCAATAAGATCTTCGCGGCGGACTCCCCAGAGCTCAGAGCGATGGCGGTGGCATTGAGGGAGTTGACACACTCGCACAACGTCCCGTTGATAATCAACGACCATGTCGAACTTGCTCTGGAAATTGGAGCTGACGGTGTGCACATTGGTCAAGAAGACACGGCCGTGGAAGACGCTCAGGCTTTGGTGGGATCGACACCGTCGTTTCTGGTTGGGGTCACGGTACGCGATGCAATCCAGGCCCAAGCTGCATGCAAAGGTACCGTCGGTGCTTTATCGATTATTCATGTGCAGGAACATGTCATGAATGTTTTCGTGTAGCGGGTGCTGACTATTTGGGCGTTGGGCCAGTGTATGCGTCGAGCACCAAGCAAAATGCAAACAATGGCCAGGTCATTGGCCTGGACGGACTTGCTTCGACAGTCGAGATGGCGCGGCAGTTCAACGTTCCTGTGGTTGCGATCGGGGGCATCAATATGGACCGTGTCGAGGCTTGCATGGCGACCAAGGCTACCGGTGTCGCTGTGGTGGCGGCACTGAGCAGCGCCAGCGACGTCCGTGGCGCGGCAGTAGACCTTGCAGCAAGTGTGCGTCGTCACCACAAGGGTTGAAACGCTGTCGAAGGAAATCTTTCAAACAAGTCTAAACTCGACATTTTACGATGGTTTGATGCTTGGACACGGATCGAAATCGCATCCGAGGTCGACTCGACGCCGCTGGAACTTCTTGGTTGCGGCGCAATACCTTGCTTCCGTCGAGCACGCCGCGGCGGGGGGGCATGGGCTGAAGGTACAGTTCAACGCGGCGCTCCTGCGGACAACAGCCAGCGTTTGTGGGCACGTGAACGTGTCGTTGGCACACATCTGAACACGATGTCCACATGACCAACGAGTCGATCAACTGACGACGGATGAAAAATTACCAATGGACATGGATCAAAGGTGCAGTTCAGCGCGGGATTGGCAATCTTGACATCTCCTGACGAGCACACGAGCGTATCGTTCGCGCAGGACTAGCAAAAGAACGCGACGAGTATGCCATGCTTGTCCATGCCGGTGCTCTTACTGGAGGACACGGGAAAAACGTGCAGTTGTTGGCAAAGTCTCGGAGCACAATGTCACCGGATGGACAAACCTGGAAGAATGGGTCGCCTGAGCACGTCATGTTCTGGAATACACGCGAGAGGAAGGTGAAGAATGCCATTCAGCGGGGGCTTGCGTACTCGTGACGGCCCGGAGGCGTCGTTCAATGTGATGTTGCAAGGATAGTGTTCGCAGTTGCGCAGAGGATCCCGGCCGACTCCACGGCCGTTGGGGCAGATAAACCAGTCCTCGACACATGTGGCTTCAAGGGTGAGCGACGTACACGCAACGACGACGCCCATCGTCATGGCTCGGATGACGTGCGGTGTGATGGTGCGCATTGCAGAATATCGCCATTGAGCGCTTGAAACGGCGGAAGTGCCGCTATTTTTAGCCACCCAATCGAGGCATTTCGCAGCCGGAGACGGCGAGAATTTTGGGGACCGCCGCATCCTCCTCATGCACACGGAATCGGGCTGACCGCGATGAAGATTCAGTCGAGTGCGCCTCTGGGCGAGATGGAGAGCCTCGTTGTTGAGGTGTTAAATAGCAAAGGAGTGTTACAAGTCTACTTCTCGAATAACGCGAGCAACTGGTTGAACAGCGCGCGCATGACTGGGCTCTCTTGCCGTGAAGCTTGGGCCGCGAGGACGCTTCCAAATTCTCGCAGAACTCGAGGGTCTTTTGGAGGAATCGAGATGAGCACTCGGAGGAAAAGGTTGGCGCAATCCTCGTCGGGCTGGCCACGAGACGTGGTGTCGACGACCCATTGCAACAACATTCGAGCACCTATCGACTGGTAGCGCTCGGTAAGCTTCAGCACATCCCCTTCAGACACGCGCTTCGAGTGGAGCGTTCGGTCGATCACGTAGCACGTGCGGACTTTGTCGCCCAGCTAATGCGACGATGAGAGAGTTCACGGGTACGAATCTCACCGTAAGCTTCGAGGTCTGTGAATCCTGCTTGGATATTGCATCGAGGACGTGGTGAAATTGATCCACGGTGCAGCTCCCGTCGTCCCCAACATGTTCGTCGCACAGATCGACCATAAAGTCGGTCACCATCATGTTGTCCAATGTTAACTTCGGGTTGATGATTTCCTCAAAGTTTTCTTTGTTCGCCGATCGATACACCTAAGGGGGTACTATGAGAGATGCTGTCGAGGAATGAAGACTACCCGTGACGGCAGAGCACGACGTACCCGTTGCGTGATCGGGTGCGTACCAAACACGTCAATGTGTGCTTCCACAAGCTGGTGGTGCTGGGACAAAAGCTCGCGGAACATGCGGTGATGCCATGTCATGACCTCCTCGAGCAACTCTTTTCGTTGGACGTCCATCAAATCACGTCCAGGAGCGGCAGCAGCAAGCGGCGGAGGCCAAGTGAATTGAAGGCGAGGAAACGAAACGTGTACATAACCGGAACGTACTTTGGTGAAATGTAGGTACATTTTCGGATGAAAAATGGATTGAAATTTTTCATTATTTACGATTTTTGTGTTATGAAAATCCAAAGAATCCCACCCTTGGAAGCAACCATGACGAGGTCGTTTGCGAGGTCACAGCTCTTCATGGGCACCGATTTCCATCCCTGCACGAAGCATCCATTAGGCCAGCTCTGTGCGACTTGAGCAGGATACATCCATACCATGCAGGTCGAGAAACGAGCCATCCCCCAGCGGATACGTCCACAGGTCACCTTCCTGGGCAGCGTCGGTGTAATCCAAGATCGGTTGCCACAACCTCCACGCAGCAAGGATATCGTCGAGGTGCATGAAATGACTGTATCACTTGTGTCAATTTGTTCCAGTGAAAGGTGCTGCGCAATCGACGGTACCTTGTATCTCCGTCCAGCACTTTGCCCAAGAGAAATGTGTACGCGTTCGTCGATTCCAACGATACGTGTGGAACAAAACGAGTGTTTGGCGGTGTCATCGGTAATGCGCTGCTGTTTGCTTGAACCCATCCGGCTGGAGAGACCATCGTGGCCACAAGGGCGTCGCATAGTTGAATGTACTCCCCTTCTGGTCCCTATAATGCGTTCAAACGATTGGAACACTGGCATATTTCGATGTGTTCTCACTTGTATAACAAACAACAGCGTGCATGTCGTTCCAAACTGCAGCGCCACGCGGACTTGGCGCTGACTGAGTCCTTTCCCGGCCGTCAACGACGCAAATAGACGGCGTCGATCTTTATGCTGAAAACACACAGCCGCCGCCGTCGCTGTCGTGGACGATGGTTTCTTGAGCTCCAGACTTACATCTTGGGCATAGCCGTCGTACTGACCAAGGATCACGCCCTAGAAAAGATAATGCGAAGACTTGAGGGAGATCCACGATCGCACCTTCTGATCAAAGGTGAACTGGTGGACCAAGTCGAGGCGGCGGTTCGCCTACACGCGGCCGACACATAAGGCATCTGATGGATCAATTTAGTGGATACCGGGGAGTCCAGAGGGGGGGCCACGAGCCCCCACAAGAGCGTCAAGTGGTTCGCCATCACGTCCCGCACAATGCCGACGCTATTTCTCACCGCATTGAGACCAAACACATCGCTCGTGTGCACGTACTTGTCGAAGAAGGCCGTTCGTGTCGCAACGGTGTCGGCTTCGTGCATCGTGATCTGCGTCCCATGAGAGAATGCCATGGAAGAACATGGACAATACTTGGATGTGAGACAATTTCGGCCACCACTTGGAGTATTCGACGTGGTTGGCAGTCAAAAACGTGCGAAGGCCGTGAACGCCCCGCTTTCCCATGTAATGGTCCATCAAAAAGAGCTCGTCGTCGCTGAAGATGCCGCGCAACGACATGGCCAATGATTGCGCACTGGAAAGATCGTGGCCAAACGGTTTCTCGACAACGACACGTATCCAGGACTCGGGATGGCGCAGGTGAGCATGGACGTGATGGCAAATCTACCCGACACAAGGTTAGCACAACTCAAGAAAGGAAGGTTTACTGTTTCAAAGAATTGCGGTGGGACGGCCAAGTATACAATGAGCCCGGTCATATCTGGGGCAGCCCAGTCGAAGTTGACCGACAGAGCCTTGTAGTCCTCACCGTCTCTCAATCGTGCGTATCGAACACCCAACTTTGTCGCATCTGGGATGCCCTTGATCATGCTTTCGCCGAAGGCCTTGTCACTTACCCCACCAGCCCAGTATCGAAGCAAAGTTGCTGGCTTGTCCGATGCGTCACGACGGCGCAGGTGCTCAAATGCAGGCCAAATGTACTTGGTCGCTAGGTTGCCAGTACCGCCCACGACGAGGACTTGCACATACGCTTGGATCAAGCCAATTCCCACAAGCACCAGGATGGCGATGAACACCATCGTTGAAATGCTCCGAGTTGACGATTCGTATCCGGAATATCCGGATAGCTCATTCCCGTCATCGAAAGCTCATGCTGGAATATGTTTCGTCGAGACGATAAACTCAAGAAAGGCGGAACGGCCCGATCCAGGACGGACATCGTCGAGGAAGCGAGGAAGTTGCGCATGGAGCGAGAGAAGAGGCGATACACGGAGCGGCATGTGATTGCGGTGCAAGCGGTGGTTCGCGGCCATCTTGCGCGGTTATCGTTCCAGCAGCAGCTGCGCGAAGATGTGGATCGAAAGCTACAAGACATCGCCACCCTCAAGCAGATGCTTCAGAAGGAGTTTATTCTACCCTCGTCTGTCATTCTACCCCTTGTTTCGTCCGTCTTATTTGTTGCAAAGTTGCGAAGATCGAAATCCACAACGAGAATAGATGCGACCGATGCCACCAAGTTCGAGCACGTTGTCGGATTGTTGCAATCGAATTGGATCCTTTCTGGGGACTCATATCCAGCTGCATTTGGAAACATGTCGATTGCCACTTTGAAGCACGTCCTTGCTGGTTGTTTTCAACTTGGATCGGCGCAAACCCTCGAGTTTGTCGAAGCACTCGTGGGGTGCCATTCCACGGTAAGCAACCACCTCATTTCCTGTCGTCACCCGAGCACATCAAGCAATGCTCTTCGTAGAGTACACGTCCACCGTCCGCTCACACATTAACTGTTCCATACCAAGCGATGATAAAAATCTTGACGTATGACACCTTCGCTCCAATCGATCAGCCATGGTGGACCATGCCGCCTCGCCTCGAGGTACGGATGCACTCGACGCCCCATTACGTCGCATCTAAATACAACTTTCTAGTTTACTGTGTTCATGCGGCATGCCTTGATAGCAGCTCAAGCCGTGAATGTGTCGTGGTGGCGCTTGGTTTTACACCTCGTTCAGCATGCTCCATCCCCTGACGACAAGTCTACCATTCTCCATGCACTGCTTTGCAATGTACTGAACACATTTTACGATGTCGATCTCCCTCTCTGCGGATGGTCACAGCGCAACTGACATGTGCTGAGTCCATAGATCTTGACCGTACCAAACATGCGCGTCCCGCCGACTTGGTTGACGCAGTTGCATCAACTCTGGCCAGCCCTTGTCACCGTCCCGCTGGACCTTTCACGATGCCCACCATCACCGATACCTGGCATTCCATGCTCGGTGTTCTTACTTGCAAATGGCCTCGAAATACTGCAAACATCGCTGTATGACGTTCCTACCTGCATCGATCTTCCAGACTTTATTTCGGCGTTTCGCAGGAGGTCGTCGACGACGGAAACCCTGCCGCAAGATCTCGCGTGGATCAGTCAGCTACTGGCTGTCATTCCGGAAGAATCATTCAGCTTGGAACCGTTGACGTGGATGCATATCTCCACGTCGCACTCCGTCCCCGTCATGTATCCACCAGCGGTCGTTGCCCAATTGAGAATCATCCATTTGCAGGTGTGCTCGCAACATCACTTGAATTGTTCAGTTCTTTGACGTATTTGAATTGAGCTGACGACGTTTGTAGATGCGGCAATGGTGCGGGGAGTGCTTTACCGTGAACCCGGAAGGGCTCCGCAGGCCGCTCTCGACCGTGGTCCCTGCCCCAATGTTCCCTGAAGCTGCAACGAATGAAGTACGTACATAACATTGCTTCGACTGGCTCAAGGTTCGGGGTGCGTATAGGACCAGTATGGGTTTGGGTACATTGCTCAGCAGGGGTCGTTTTCGATCTTGCGACGGTTCTGGAAGAAGAAGACCCAGTGGACGACCAAGCTGATGCAAAATCTGAACCTGTTCAAGTCGGAGCGGCCTCCTCGTCGACCATCTACCGCGCAGGACTCACCATCCCACGTACCAGATGTCGCTCCGTTCCGCAATGCTGCTTTCACGTCCCTCGTGCGACTCTGTGGCTTGTTTCTGTGGCGATGGAAGTCCACTGACAAGAAGAACTCCCCCGAAATGCTCAGCTTTCTCAGCTTCTATCGATCTGCCCACGGGACGTCGCTCGTCACGACCTTGTGGACGTACTTCCAGGAAACGCACGACGTTGATGCGACTGCGCAGGTTCGTGTGAACCACATAACATTTTTGTGAGAAGCATTGATTGCCACCCGCGCATTGTCGTAGTCGTTGCTTCTCGAGCGAGCAGCGCCATGCGACCCCACGGCTTGTCTCTTGCTCACGTTTGCACTGACATACAACAACCTCTTGATCGTCCTCCACGACAACGAGGTCACGTCAACTCGTCTAGCACTCTCCTCATATTGGATGTAGATGCATGAGCAAGGGTTCCCTCTTCCACTGGCCGAAGTCGAACGCGTTGTCGTGTTTTTCAAACACGTCCTCTACCGACGATACTGGCTTGCTCCCCGTACGCAAACCACCCATCCGTTTGGCGAGTACGCTGTCGATGCCGCGACGTGGCTACTGCAGTCTCTGTACAACCGGTGCTCTCGCCGCCCGTTTTCCAATGTCACGAGCTGGTCTGTGACTACCAACGCATGTATGCATCGATGTCACACAATACACTCGTATAGGATTGTCAAGGACTTGGATGGTGACGACATGCTTGAGAGTGTGCTGAACGAAGACCCAAAAGGCCAAATGCTCTTGCGCCAAATGCCGTACTTGCTACCGTATGCAGATCGCGTACGGCTGTTCCAAGCGCTCTTGAAGCTCGAGCGAGAGAGGTATTGCCCCCTGATTGACATCGCTTGTTGCTTGCACATGGAGCATCCTTGATCGAGTTCGAGATGATGTACAAGAAACAACGTCTCGATGCAGGCATCAGGAAATGGCTCCTCCGTGCCGCATTACGATTCGACGTGGGTATGTTCTGGAAGACGGTCTGACCAAGCTCAATGCAATTCGGCGGGACCTCAAGAAAAGAGTCCAGGTTTGTGCATGGCCCATTGGGTTTCAAGCACCAGTAATTGCGATCTTTTGGCCATGGCCCAGGTGCATTTTATCAACGAAGCAGGGACGGAAGAGGTCGGGATCGACGCGGGGGGGCTCTTCAAGGAGTTTTGGACCGAGTTGAGTCAGATGGCGTTCGATCCCCACTACGGCAAGACCACAACTCCATCGATCTCGAACCTCATGCATGCGGTGACTATCTAGGATTATTTCAGTGCTCGGACGACCACCTACTCTTTCCAAACCCAATGTCGAGTCAAGTCCACTCGAACGACACGCTCTTGTTTGAGTTCCTCGGCAGCATCTTGGGCAAAGCCCTCTACGAGAACATCGTCGTGCAGCCCAAATTTGCTCGCTTCTTCCTGTCAAAGCTTCTCGGCAACCACAACCACATCCACGATTTACCATCGCTTGATCCTGAATTGTACAAGGTTAATTGTCCAACGACGTCGAGGGCTAGTCAGTGATGGTGCTACCGGCCGTGTAGAACCTGATGTTCCTCAAGGGATACGAAGGCAACGTAGCAGATCTTGGGCTGTCTTTTACGATCGGTCAAGACTGCTTTGGCGTGCATGTACGTTCGGCGATCATCGCTTCACTTACGTGGCGGCACTCGGACTTGTAGAAAGAAGTGGACCTCTTGCCGGGAGGGTCCAACGTGGGTGTCACCAACGACAATCGCTTCCGATACATCCATTTGGCTGCAAATTACTACTTGAATGTGCAGATCCGCCACCAAAGCGCCGCCTTCTTGGCCGGACTGAGCGACGTCGTGAACGTCAGGCTACTGCACATGTTCAACGAACCCGAGCTCCAAGTTCTAATCTCGGGGTCACCCAGCGCTTTCGACGTCGAGGTTATGCTCCAATACGATGATGGAAGGAACCATTTCGAATGTTTCGTGCCTTGTATAGGACTTGAAGTCGGCGACGACTTTGACGGGAGGGTACTTTTCCCAGGACAAGCGCATTGGGTGGCTGTGGAAGGTATGTCTCCGCTTCGAGAACTGGGAAACATGGTGATGTAACGATCCTAGGCGCTTGAGAGCTTTACGCCGAGTGAGCGCGCACTCTTTCTCCGCTTTGTAACGTCATGCCAACGGGCTCCGATTTTGGGGTTTCATTCGTTGCATCCTCCCTTTTGTGTGCAAAAGATCTCGATTCGCTGCGATGACGACAAGTTGCCGTCTGCCGCCACGTGTTTCAACACGCTTAAACTTCCCACGTACTCGAGCTACAAAGTGCTGCGGGAGAAGCTGCTCACTGCCATCACGTCCGGCGCTGGCTTTGAAATGACGTAGGAGTTGCACCTGCGAAAGGTGCACGCTGCTTGTACATGCAAAGGGAATATGTTTCTGTACACGATCGAGTGTTGCGGACCGGGACCTCGTTTCCTCGCATCTCGTGCAAGGATTTACGGCATTGTGTGCGTCGTCGCCAACGACAGCTGCGGCCTTTTTTGGTCCTTGAACAAAAGAGGATTCGATAAAGTGCGGTCATGGTTCCCCTTAAAGTACGGTTGCTTGTATTGCACGTATGATTGGTGTAAATTCTCTCATTTATAGCAAATCAGAGACGAGTCCGGTTTCATCTCGATGACGCATTGCGAGGGGATTGTGGTGGTGAGGACACCAGTTTGGAATTGACGATGCAGATCACGGTCTCAAACGCCAAAGGAAAGGAGTATGGCACCGTGGAGGCCCAGCCAAAGGACACGCTCGCGCAGCTGAAGAAGCAGCTGCAAAAGATCACTCGCTTGAGTATCCACCGCCAAGGTTTGAAGCTCAAGACGACCGGCGACGCGTTCAAGGTCGATCAGTTCGATGCCTAGGCTTTGCGATTTGTTCTCATGTGCTTCCACTGCATTAGAACTTGACTGGCGATTTGGAAACTCTTGCGACACTCGGCTTCGTCGAAGGCACGAATGCCCTTGTCGTCAAGGACTTGGGTCCCCAAATCGGCTACCGCACCGTTTTCATCTTGGAATACCTGGGTCCCATGGTGTTTGTGTTATTGTACGCCACGCGCCCTGCGTTCCTCTATGGTGCCAAGGCTGCATCGCTTCCATTCAGCAAGACCGCGACTTATGGCATTGTCGCGTGGACGCTCCATTTCCTCAAGCGCGAGCTGGAAACAATCTTCGTCCATCGCTTCTCCCGCCCGACAATGCCGCTCTTCAACTTATTCAAGAACTGCATGTACTACTGGTCGTTCGGTTTGATCATTGGGTACCCCTTGTGCCACCCTCTGTACCAAGGACCCAAGTCCGAGACCCAAGTCCTCATCGGGCTCGTGATTTTTGCGGTACGTCGCGCATCCGTCTGTCACCATCATCTTCTGCAGTACCCCATGCTCCTCGATAGGTGTCTGAAATGTTGAACTTCAGCGTGCACATGCAATTCCGCCTCATGCGTACTCAAGAAGGATCGAGCGCCCGCAACATCCCCAAGGGTCCCCTTTTTGCCCTCGTGTCGTGCCCAAACTACACATTTGAAGTGCTTGGATGGGTGGGATTCTCCATCTTCACTCAAATCGCTTTCGGTAAGCAAACGAATGCCCTTCTTCTGAGGCTCATGTCATTCCAGGCTACCTCTTTACGTTGGTGGGCTTCCTCCAAATGGCTCAGTGGGCACTCCAGAAGCACAAGGGCTACTACAAGACCTACGGCGACGACTATAAGAAGCTCGGCCGCAAGGCCTTGGTGCCGTTTTTGTTGTAATGCTGGCATACCTCGTTTTATGACTTTTTGTCGTATTGAACTTGCTCTGACAAATAGCTCAAAATGCCAACTATTAATTGGATACATTTGCGAGATTTTAGCATAATTTCAATTTGAACTTGATCATTCAATCTGCTACACCTCATCGCGAGCGATGCCGCTTGTTCGCGATGGGGTTGATCGGGATGTCGTCCTTGTGTTTGTCGAGATCTAATCGAGGGAAGAGTTCCTTATTGTTGAGCTGGATGCGCGCTTCCTCGGCCTGCTCGTACGCATCCACGTCGCCATACACCATCTTGATGAGGTTGTCGAACGTGGGGTCCGGTCTTAGCGCTCGGCGGGTCGTGAAGGGCGTGTTGCACACTGGGCACACTGTATTCTTTCCTTTTTCGTGGATGTGTCGATGAATGCAGACAGTGCAGAAACGATGAAGACATGCCGTGATCACCATCGCATCACGGATAATACCTAGCGTTCATTGCGTGAGGCTTGTAGTAGGAAGGAATATCCATACCAGTGCAAATGGCGCAATTCAGCTCTTCATCCAAGGACGAGGCTGGAATGTGGAGTGTCCTGTCCTGTGGCTCACGGGGCTGCCGGCATATGTCGTACAGATTCATGTCATATCCCGCAGCGAGACGAAATTCCTCGTAGTTGGACGCCGTGTTGGGTTCTCGGAAAGGATTATGTCGCTCCACCATATTGTTGTACGTCGTCAGCACCTCATCAACGTCGACGTCGGCCTCGCTGTTGCCAGTCGTCCCAGCGACTCCCGCGTCCACGGACCCATTGTGCACCATCGTTTTGTGACAGTGTGAATGGAATTTCGGGGTGACATTTTTCTACACCCAGGCAGACTTACAAATCTCAAGATATTATTTTGGAAAAGATTTTTACCATCGACCAATCACAATTGAGAACATCCCAACAAATGAAAACTCCATTCAGAAATCATGAACACAAGTCGAGCAGTCCATGCATATACACAGCATCAGTGACGCAGCGATGTGAGCATAGCGCAGCCTGGATGGCTAATAGTTATCCTCACGTTGCTCAACAGAGTTTTGCTGACAAAGACGTGGTGGTATATCTGTCATCAAGTGACGATTTCGTAGAATCAAGCAGTTCGTGCGCTTCGATATATTTTGCTTGAAAGAAATTTTCGAAGCAACAATATTTGGTAAATATATGGCCTGTTCCGATCGAAACGAATTGGCAAAAATATCTTGTAAGCGCGGACCATTGTGTGCATGGGAGACGTCATGTCTAAGGCTGCGTCATGGCTGCAGACGCTGGTCGTAACCACGAGCGCCCTGGCCGTCGGCCTTCTCGGAATCCTCTACGTGTATCAAGAGAAGCTGCTCTACTTTCCTAGCATGCCTGGTGTCTCCAAGCTGACCACCGAGAACCCAGAAGGTACTATCGTCGCTCTGTTCTTGTGGCAGGCATCCAGGTCAACGCGACTACGTCAGGGTACCGCCGTCCCGACGAGTACGGAATCGACTACGAAGATGTGTTCATACCATGTGCGGATGGTGTAAAGATTCACGCGTGGCTCATGAAACAACCGCAACCCAAAGAAGTGTCGACAATCGTGTTCTTCCACGGCAATGCAGGCAGTACGTTCATCTCGTCCCCCTTCATCCAAAAGTCTTGGGCCTCATGCTCAGTCACCCGTAGATATTGGATACCGTCTCCCGAACGCCGCCAAGATGTTTCGCCACTTGGAATGCAACATTCTCCTGGTCGATTACCGTGGCTTTGGGATGAGCGAAGGAGAGCCTACGGAGCGCGGGCTTCAGCTCGATGCAGAGGTAGACGAAACGACCATTTTTGTCTTATCTATTCTCACCATTCTGCAACTTGCAGGGCGTTCTGGACTACTTGCACTCGCGCGGTGCCTCTACAGTCGATTCATCCAAACTCATCCTCTTTGGCAGATCCCTCGGTGGCGCTGTCGCCGTCTACGCCGCGACGACACGACCCAAACAGGTGTATAGCATGCTTTACCTGCTTGCGCTCATGTTTCCTACGTTGTAGATCGCTGGCCTCATCCTTGAAAACACGTTCTTGTCCATCTCGGCCATGGTAGATCAAGTTATGCCATGGCTGTCGCACGTCAAGTCGGTGGTTCTGCGCCTTGACTGGGGCAACGAAGGTCGGATACCGTTGCTGACGCACCCGATTCTATTTGTTGCGGGCGAGCGGGATGAGCTCGTGCCCCACACGCACATGCAGCGCCTGCACGCGCTCGCGGTCAAGAGCACGCTGCGAGCATGGCTGCCAATTCCTCGAGGCACGCACAACGACAGCTGGATGCGTGGGGGAATGGACTACTTTTACACCCTCAAGAGCTTTATCGGGAACGTTGTGGGCGAACCGTCGTCCGTTGACACCAAGACGGGCCAGGTCAAGACACCCACGGACATGGTCGACGACGAGGATTTCAAGGAAGCACCGTCGCATATCCCCAACATGCTGGATCAGCAGTCGCTGCTCTTTCAACGGCCGGCCAAGAAGATCGACCAGGACGAGCTGTAACATTCCACTAAAAATCCACCGGCAATTGCGTTGGCAACCATTGTTGGCCACATGTAGATGTCCCCTCGAGAAAACCTCGCAACCGATGTACAGTCTCCTCATTCATATTGTCCTCGGTCGTCTGCATCGTAATCATGACGATCCACTCGTTCCGTGACACGTTGGGCGACGCCGTCGCCTTGCCTTGGCATCCACCACAAATGGCAAGCATCTTCGTGCAGGTTCTACTCATGAAACTCGCCTTGACGCGTGCTCTACTGGGGACCTTTGGCTACAGGAGCTGTAAAACTTTCTCGCTACAGCATTGCTTTGGGACCCAACGACAGTGTCATTGCCGACGTAATTCGGTGACTCGAGGAAGGTTCTTCACACCGAAAGATGTAGGAAGGATGAACAAGACAGTTGGGCAAGGGAGTTGCGACGATGGGACGGTGAGATTACCCATTCTGAGGTCGACTTTACCTGACCAGACCACATTGCCTTCACTTGAGGTACCCCCCCCTAACCATCGATGATCTGTTGGAGATGGACAGCCCCCGCACATGCATGGACCGAACATTGATCTGAACATCGCCAAGATGCTACTTTCTTGCGTGCAGTGGAGATGCATGACCAATTCATGTGGCCAGTCTGCAACAAAGCGCAGGACGTTGACGGCATTCTCTACCTCGTCCATGCGGCTGATACGTGCATGTGGTCCTCGATGTGATCGACGATTCGGTCTAAAGTATGCTTCGTTGCAGCTTTAATAACTCGGTCACGCGGTAGGTCGCAACATGGATGAGGTGGCGGGGTTGGAACGTGCCCATGTTCATGAGCGTATGGTGCAGTGACGGCATGGCGCGGAGGCCGTCGCCGTCGTCATTGCTTGGAAAAGAAGGACGTGATGGGTTTCTGCGGCGACTCGCCAATCTTGGGTTTTTTTGGCGTAAGTGTCGGTCTTGGCGCGCGTGATGCATGACACATAGAGCACGAGGACGTCGTAAACGCGTTCGCAAAAGTGCACGTGGCGCACGTCCATTCGGCCAAGGGCAATTCTCGACGGCTGTCGCACATGGCACACATCTTGGCGTCGCCAGCGTTTTCAAACGTGCATGCATCGCAATTCCACTTGTCTGGAGGGGGCATGCATGTCAAGGGACATGCGCCGTCCGCTGGCCGTTTAAACGATACACGAGTCGGGCTTGAGGAGACGTGATGCGACAGCGCAGCATCGTCGGCACAGTCGGAGCGCTCCGTCTTGAGGGGAATGAAAGGATCTGGCGCGACGGACTCCGCTTGGTCTTCTTTCTTGATCGAAGGGCCGTCCATTTGCTTGTAGAAAGACGTGATCTTGCCTACAACAATCGTCACGACGCCATGCAGGATGTCGCAAGAGTCGTTCGACCTGCTACGCGAACATCCACTTTTGCCATGCATGCGTCGGAATCAAATGTCGCTTGACCAACTGCATGCACAGAAATTCCGACAAAAATGTGACTAGATCGCATGGACGAACCTTGCTTGGTCACGGGGTAATACGTCAGGTCATCGTGAGGATATGGGCGCACCAGTGACAAAAAAGGCTTGAAGCGCTTGTCAGCGGCCTCGTCGGCCAGCCACCGGTCGGCTTCGTCGGCATCTCGCAAGATCAACTGTCGACGAATAGGACGGTCGAGTGGATGAAGCAGGTCGTACCGGCATCCGAGTGTGAATCCATTTCATTTTGGGCGGGGACTCCGTCGTAATGATCGAGTACGTGTAAGTGATATTCCCTTCGTCATTGCGCCAAGCGTCGAACAGCCCTGCAATCTACACGGGATTCCACGATCGGCGTCACGCGGGAACGGCAAAGACGAACGCGCATGATGGGACTGCCGGCGAGGTGAATAAAATACGGTTGCTTGTCCGACTTGCCGAGCTTTTGCCATTCGTAAAACCTGATGTTGCATCGGGTCATGGACACGACATGGAATGGCAGGGAGGTGCGTACCCATTAAACAACACGACGCAGCGCTTTTGGTCGACAAGTTGGCGGTACGCCGGCGTTTCCGCCATGGATTCGGACCTGCATGTTATGTATTACTTCTTTGACGTAGTGCGATCGAAATGGAGGCCGCCAACCTGGCATTGAAGCGCATGAAGTGGTTCACCTTCTCGTCGGGCTTCATGTACGACGGGATAAGTCCCCACTGGAAAACGCATCAGCGCTGTCAAAGCGGTAGATGCGCCGTGCGCCTTACCTTCATCGGTCGCACAACGAGGTGCTTGGTAGCCTTGTCCTGATACAGAATTGGCGTTGCCATGCCAGGGGACACATTGTAGTGAGGCGAGTCTACCGCAGTCGGTACGGGCCATGAAGTTCAATCAGCGATGTCCTTAAGCTCTTACACTTATCTTGGTCGACAAAGTCTTCCACCGTCGTGTGGGTTGCCTTGATTACTTCTTCGGGTTGCAGCACACAGCACGCTCTTCCGCACATGACAAACTGCCATGTCGAACGCACTGTGCATCCGGATGTTATCCGTACCATCGTCATGCCATGCACAAATGCCATCATGAGCCACAATGGTGCGGAGATCAACCAGATCCCAGCGTCAGACGTGAATATGGAGACACCCAGAGAGCCTGCCGTCCCTGAGATCGTATGGTACGAGCATATCCAAGGGTCTAAGCCTATTCTGGAGCACTGCATCACTGCGCCATTCGACGCGCACTTCACACGCGGAGTCAAGGTGTCTCCAGACGGCCTTTGCATCCTGACCAACAGCGACGACAACGTGCTACGCCTCTTTGACGTAGAGCCCGATCTTCAGTCGGTACGATACACCTTCTTGCATGCTCTTTGCAGTTGATCTGGATGAAAGAACGTGTGTCGATGTCCAGGAGACGTTGAGGATGCATGAAGGCGGCACGGTGTATGACTTCCAGTGGTATCCATACATGAACTCGGAGGACCCAGCAACGTGTGTGTTTGCCACGACGAGTCATGCGCACCCTGTGCATCTCTGGGATGCGTACACGGGGGACCTGCGCGCGACCTACCGCGCGTACGATCACCTGGACGAACTCACGTCCGCGTATTCGGTGGCATTCAACGGCACGGGGGACAAAATCTTCTGCGGTTTCGATCGCACGATTCGGTTCTTCGATGTATCACAGCCCAGCCGCGACTTCTCCACGCGATCCTTGAGCAAGACCAAAAAGACACGGCATGGCCAGCGGTATTCACCACCTCCATCGTCGTCACCATTCATCTCGGAACTTTACGCCGTTCGGTTTCCCGTTCTTATATTGGTTTTTATGGATTTCAGACGTCGACGAGCAATTCTTTTTTCGTGCAAAAAGTTGCTTTTTTGCGCTATCGTTGTGCGTCCATCTCATGAAACACCAACTTCCCACGTAGCGGCATTATCTCGACCATCCACTTCAACCCCGATCATTCCAAGTACGACTTCGCAATTAATCCTCTCGAAATGATGTTGTGTACATGACGCGGTGGATTTCGCGAGTAGGATGTATGCCGCAGGGTCGTACAGCGGGTCGACTTGCATTTACGCCGAAGACAGCGGCGAACTTTTCATGGGCCTCGAGGCATGGACCTGATCCAGAACGTTGAACGACGTGGATGCTGACGTGTGTGGGGATGTGCTAGGGCCACGATGGACAAGGCATCACACAGGTGCAATTCACTCCAAACGGGCAGTATCTCTTGACTGGCGCCCGCAAGAACCACACGATCAACGTGTGGGATATCCGCAACACGATGCAAGTGCTCCATACGTTCAAACGTGAGGCACCTACGAACCAGGTTAGGCTACGTCAAGTGCGTTGGACCCAGGATTTCATGTCGTGCGTGTAGCGCATTGCGTTTGACATCCACATTGGCAGTCGCTACGTCGTCACTGGCAGCGCGGTACCCATCCCATGTCGAGATGAATAGGGCGCACTCCTGTGAACCAAGTTACATGAACAATTTGTAGGATGCAAGGGTCCTCATGTATGATATGTACACGGGCGAATGCGTCAGCGAGATCGCGACGTTGCCAGGTGTCCACATCACAACCTGACCAACCTAACACGATGCGTAGAGTGCGTGAACGGTGTGTCCTTCTTTCCCTTCCCAGACACCGCGCGCATTGCCCTCTGCACAGGGCAGCGCACGTATACACTGCCTCCTGATATGACGGACGACGATGCCGAGGTCGCCAACGTCGGCGCCCGCCATTGTGTTCAAGTGTACGACTACCATCCTCAACTCCCCGAACAGTAACCTTTTGGGACGCCACGTAAAAATGGATATTGCCAAACTGGCGATTTTCCACGATTTTTTCGATGTAGGCGAATTATCACCTGTACAAATGAATAATTGCTACTTGTATAATCGAATAACCTCGAAGGTCCACCAAAGTGTGTGATTCCCCACGCAACAGCAGACGTCGATGGTGTGCATCCGCAATGCCACGGTAGGGTGGAAGATGGTGGCTGAAGGCGCCTTGACGCTCACGTGTGTATAGGTGCCGGACTTGCTTGCAATGCAGAACGCCAACCTGTGGTGCTTGCCTGAAAACTACCAGATGAAGTACTACTACTACCACATTATGTCGTGGCCGCAATTGCTGTACGTGGCGGAAGACCACCACGGAAAGATTGTAGGATACGTGTTGGCCAAGATGGAAGAAGATGCGACCGTGCCGCATGGCCACATCACGTCCCTTGCTGTGTTGCGCACGCATCGCAAGTGCGGGATCGCGACCAAGCTCATGAAGGCCGCTCAACGTGCGATGGTTGAAAACTTCAAGGCCGAGTATGTATCTCTCCACGTACGTGAAGGCAACGCGGCGGCGTTCCATCTGTACCGCAAAACCCTCGAGTACCAAGTGTACGACATCGAGAAGGGGTACTACGCCGACGGCGAAGACGCATACGACATGCGATTGCCGTTCACGGAAAAGTGCCACACTGCCATGTCGGCCAATGTTGCCAAGTGGAACGCGTATTTGGCTGAACAAGGCAAGTAGACCAGGCAATTACATACGAATGGACGAACCATCTTACGAATGCACGATCGACATTGCATTCGCATTCACGAGTAGTTGCCATGAGTGTGCCAGTTCAGGACTCCCTTGCAGACGAACACAGTCCCAGTCAACGGCAATCCGATCCAGCTAGAACATGGAGACATTGTGAACTATTTCCGCCCCTCTCTGCACATCCCATGGTTTGATTTCGGGCTTCGATTGCCCCGGTTAAGATGGAATAATGCTTAGTGATGCGTATTCACACTTTAGCTGACGAGTGCAAGTCCTGCTTGGCCCTCTGTTACGTGGCGGGATGGCAATTCCGGTTGATGGTAAAACAAAGCCGGTAATCGTTCGGAACCTTACACGAGAGACTTGCTCAAGATCTCGTAAGACTCGGACGTGTCCCCTTGCGCAGACGGCGACGTGTCGTCGATGACGAATCCCATCTTTTCTGTGTAAAACTTCATGGCGGCGATGTTGGACTTGAAAACGGTGAGGAGAATCAACTTCATCTTGTACTTGCGCCCGATGAGTTGCAGCAACTGCATCAGTCGCTTGCCAAGCCCTTGGCGTTGCATACCAGGACCAACCTGGATTTCGTAAACGTACACAACAGCATCTCCTTCGTCTTCCACGAATCGAAAATGGAGAAACGCGTCAATCTGTCCTGGAGTCCGTTCGACGACGATGTACCGCGCTGCATCCTCAAATAACTCGACTCTTTTCTTCTCCATGTCGAATCCCCACGTCGAATTTTCGTATAGTTCCTGCATGTTTTCGCGAAACACGCCCTCAATTTGGCGTCGTTCGGCTTCCGACAACTGTTGTGCATTCAGCGACCTGAGCTTGGCAAACACATCAGCCATGGTCGTCGGGAATAACTCGAACGCCTTGAACTCTGGCATGAAGTCTGCGACATTGTTGGCATGGGCGATGAGTTGTCTCCGCGCCAACGCCTGCTGCTCCTTTTTCGTCAGCCGCTTGGCTTTTGGCGGCATTTTCACATCTGAACCGGACCAACGTCCGGTTAAAAACCGAATATCCGGAAGAGTTGGGTATCCGGATATGGGGTGGTGTCATTTTTACTTCCTTTAAACTATACTATACTAACCCCTTGATGCATCGAAGTCAAGAGCCACTACACGAGTGGTGAAGACAACAACGACTATGGATAGCCTGAACCCCGGCCAGAAAGTTGCGCTCTTCACGGCTGCTGGTGCGTTTGGCGGAGCTGCCGTCGGCTCCGTGGAGTCCGTGTGGCGCATTCCTCGATTGGGTACATATATTCCATTACTTTGGTGCATTTCATTGCTGTGCTGTAGGCCAAGAACTCCCAAGCTTTGCCAAGCAATTGCGTGGCATCGGCGGTCGCTCGGTACCTACTTTCCACATTATGTACCGAATGTTGTGCTCACAGAACGTCGATCAATAGGTGGCCTTTGGGTCTGCAAGCTTTCTCTTTGCAGCAGGCGAACATGTCGCGGTAAGTTGTTAGAGAGGTTCCCCTGCCAATACGCCATGTCATCACGTTGAATTCGTAGCACTCGATTCGCAGCAACGATGACGTGTGGAACCCTTTCATTGGTGGCCTCGTGGCGGGTGTTGTGCCTGCTGTGGTGAAGCAGAACGCCTTGTGGGGCCTGGGTGCCGGCATTGCCGTCGGCACGACCATGGCCTTTGCGCATTACTTTGAAAGTGGCGATTCCAACAAGACCCCCCTTGAAAAGTGGGCGAGCCGCTACGATTACCTCAAAAAGGATTAAACATTAATCATGGTGTCACGTTAAATTCGCATCCTCTTTCTCTACCCCACCGACATGGTGCCACAATTCGACCCTGCCACGACGACAGCATTAGTCTTCGTCTTCCACGCTCCTGGCATGGAATCATTACCGTAAAATCCCTCAAAGCATGTGCACACCCCAGTGGCATAGTTGCACACCCCGCGATTGGAACACTCGGCAAAGCACACATTCCCTGCTGTTCCTGTTCCAAACCCGCCAGGGGCGACAACGCCCGAGCAGTCCAGCTCGTTCGTCCCAGTTGTGACGGGATCGTCTCCATATGGACAATGCTCTGTGGTCCATGACATTGGCATGAGGTGAAGGATGGATGGTCATCCGTCAACGTACGCAATGAACAGTCGGAGCCGAACCAGCTACTCGCCTGAACCTGGCCGGACGCGAGGCCCACGGGCCACGACGAGTCGCACACACACCCAAAGACACGGTCTTGATCCCATGTCGTTGTGCTCTGAAGACACAAACGTCAATTGAGTCAATAGTTCATTGAGTTGCACCAGGAGACCGCCATAAGTTGTCGGGGCTGAGAGGGGCATGGCGGCGGAAATACCGGCAAGAGCTCGCATGCTTACGCACGTGCCATGGCCGGAACAGTCTTTGGGACACGAGGCTACACCAGAGTTGGGAAACGATACAATATGAGTGTTGGAAATTACTGCGCTCGCAGGCCCCGCCAGCAAATCCAGGAAAACACTTGCACTCGCCAGTGGATGCGTCACAAATCCCCATGTCGGAACATTCGGCGACAGCATGGCCTGTTGTGGGCTGAGTTGGGATCGAGTTCCAGGACGCGGCAGCAGGACACACACCTAATTGTGGGAAGTGTTGAATTCACCGGGTGGAATACGATAAATAGAAGGCAATTGCGTACGTCTGGAGCAATCGGCGGCCTTGTTGTTTGAGATGTCTGTGGGACTACCCCACCCATTGGTACATGTGCACACTTTCGTCTTGGTGTTGCACTTGCCATGGCCGCTGCAATCGTTCAAGGCATTGCACAAGTCGCCACCTGCTGGATTATAACTCGACCCCCCACTCGACAGAATGATCAAAACCATGAGCCTCGTCCATGCCGTCCTGCTTCGCGGTGACTCGGACGTGCGCATGATGGTCGTACGTGGGAACGAAATCGGCCGTTACAATTCCAAGTACGGTTTCACAAAGTCTACTTTTTCGGAATTTAGCAATTTGACGAAATATACAAAAATAGTATTCTTCGAGATAGGAAATTTACGTTTAGCGAGTACGGCTGATGCCGCCGTATCCATTCGGTTGTGGCTTGGGAGCGTTCGGGTCCTTGGCATAGACAGGCTCAACGTTGGGTTCATACCGTCCTCGCCACCCTGTCTCGCTCGGCATAATGAAGTCCGCAGGGTTTTCCACGCCTTCGATCTGCATCCGTCGCGCACGTTCGTCCGCCTCCTGCGCTGCGCGCGCCGCTCGTTTGAGCTTTATCTCTTCGAAGTATGCAATTTGCTTCTTTTCGATATCTGCTTGCCGCCTCTTTTCCTTCTTTGCCTTCTTCGCCGCTTTCTTCAGTTTCTTTTTCTCGTCTTTGGTCATCTTGACTTTGAACACGTCCACTCCTTGATGGATGTCAAACTTATTCGCTAGCTCCTTGCCTTCGTATGCATGTCCTGGCTTCCCGCGCAATTCCTCATCGTCGGCAACTTCGTTTTCCTCTTTGTCCCGCAGTTCCTTGGGCAACTTGTATTTGTGGACGTGGTCGACACGAAGCATTCGTTCCAATAACGTGGACCCGTTGAAATTGTCGACTGCAAGAACCGTCGACAGGTGATTTTCGTACTTGATGAAGCTGAACCCCATGCTCTTGCCTGTGTCCTTGTCACGAACGAGGTTGATGTCCTCGATCTCTCCCACTTGACTGAACACACACAGGATGTCGCCTTCCGTGAGTTCGTATGAGAGGCCTCCGACGTACACCCATGCCGAGTCCCGATAGATGTGGTGCCACGACCCCTCAATGCCCACGCCTTGCTCGAGCTCTTGCTCATTGAGCCGTTGGATTTCCTTGATCACGTTCATGCCACCGCAATGCTTGGGAGCAAATTTCACACTATATAGTGCCTACATTGGTTGTGGTTTATATTTTGCTTTTCAGATACCACATAATGTATGTATTTTTGTTCAGGGGCACAATTGAGTACTACACTAATAGAAGGAATCGTGACACTAATTTCAGTTCGACCTGCGCACTTAGCACACACAACATAGTCGAACCTCTCCGCTTGAGCAACAAAGATGGCGTTGTGGGACGATTCTCCAGCCGCTCTGGGCCTGACGGTGGAGCGGGCGCTGCGGGACGCTTCGACATCGTCCGCCGCACTATTACCTGAAGGATGGATCTTGCGTCTGATTGATAAAGGTCATTCCTTGGATCGTCTTGCATCGTTTCTTGATGCAGTGCTGCACGCTGGGATGCGCGTGGCAACGAGCAACACGTTTGCGAGCTTACCACCTGTGGACGCGTACCTTGGTGATCTGCATGCACAGCAGAGCCGTGTGGGAAGCACCAAGGGCGGTGTGTGCGGCTATATGTTCAAGAACAACGACATTGCGTGGAATTGCCGTACGTGCCAAATGGACGACACGTGTGTGCTGTGCCAACCCTGCTTTCAAAATTCCGACCATGCGGGACACGAAGTTTTCTTTCACCGGACGTCTCCCGGTGGCATGTGCGATTGCGGCGACGTCGAGGCGTGGAAGCCCGAAGGGTTTTGCAAAGATCACACGGGGGCGCCGTCGGAACCGTCGGCATTGACAGAACCACTTCTCCCACCCGCGATGGAACGTGTGTTCCAGTGCATTTTCCGCGACTTTGTTGGGTTCATCACGTGCGTTGCGCAACACTCGGCCAGCTCGTTTGACGATTTCAAAGTGGCCGAGAACGGCGACGCGATTAAGCGCAAGCACTTTGCAAGAGCGACATCCACCGGCGCAGCCGGGTCACCACCCCTTGTACCAGCGACGACAAACCCCGCCATCTTTCACACACGGATCTCGAACGACGACGTGCACACGGACGACGAGTTGGTGCGGTGTCTGTCACAAATGGGCTTCAATGAGGGATTTGCCGAGGAGTTCACTCGGTCCGTGGACAGGCGCGGATGTGGTACGCTTAAGGCCGACGTAACGCTGGCCGAAGCATTAAATTGGATGCGGCAGATGAAAGAAGCCGGCAACTGGTTTGCCTCCGTCGTGGACAACTATCACATTGCAAACGAAGTGGCTTGGGGCAAACTTTACGAGTATCTGGCGCCGCTCCTGGCGGCATCCCCTGCCGTCCAAGCGATCTTGTTTGAGCAGTTATTTGCTCTGTATGCAACTCAAGATGGCCCCAATGCGTACCAAATCCCGACGAAGAAAGCACCATTGACGGTCCTCTTGCAGGCGACGCCGTTCGTCAAGAAGGAACTCGTGAACGGCATGAAGCAATTGTACTTGGCCATCATGGGGTCCAAGCAGCTTAAGATGCAGTTTGCTCCCATCTACGTCACCGTGTTTCCGAAGCTTATGATGCAGTACTTTGGTGGAATGGGCACCGAGCGGGAAAATGTGTTTGGGCTTGGCGTTCAGATCTTTACGACGCCATCGATCGTGCATCAGCTTGAAGACGACATGGGGCTGTGGGAAGTGGTGCTCACGACTCTGCAGGACGCGATGAGTCTAGCAAAGGTGCCCGTGGACCCACTGCCCGGCGACTCGTTCACATACAGCGTTCAGCACATGGCAATCAAGTACCGTCGGTATTTTCCGCTGCTCCAAGACATCAACCACTTGCTCATGCTGCCAACGATGGCGATTAAGTTTGCCACGACGTGTGCGAGTTTGTTCTTTTCCGTGCTTAACGATGCGTCCCACATGAATCTCCAAACCCGCGTGCCGGAAGGCCGGGCTCACGTCGAGAGAGAAGACAATGCGGCGTGGATCGCAGCCTTCACGCTTGTCATGCACTTGGATAGTCTGGTGTTACCCAATCTGTACAAATCGCTGCAGTCGCAAACGACCAGCGTCGACGGCGTGCTGTGGACCCTTTGTGACGCATTTTTGGCGTCGCTTCAGGACTTTGCATCGTCCGCGCGCCTTGTGTACCATGAGGGCGAGCCGAGCTTGACTGACCAGTACTCGATGGATGCTCCATTCATCAAGTACTCGGTGGCGTCCCAGCCCGTATCGTTCCACTACCCTCTGCACCAGGCTTGGGGGCGCTTCCTTCTGGAGATGATTCAGCGCAACTGCTTTCGGGAGCTACAAAGTCGATTGAGCGACGGGCGACTTGTCGACGCGGTCCTGGAGTTTCCGCTGCGGTCGCTCGTCTGGTCGTCCCAGATTGCATCCAACATGTGGGTGCGAAACGGGAAGGACATGATGGTCCGCCAAGTGACGAGCTACTACAGCCTCAGCTCGAACCTGTCGTTCAGAGACTTGGATCTTGTGACGGTGCAGACCTGTCTTGTCCTCATGGGGCCCGCGCGATTCTTGACCATTTTCTTGGACCGGTACGACATCTTGCCGTACTTGACGTCCACGACGGCCCAGTCGACGTGGCTGCACAACGTGTCGATGGAGAAACGAGCCATGTATGTGGCCGAGTGTCTGTTAAAATTGATTTGGATCGCAAACGAACTGCCGCCCGTCCCGACGCTGCCGATCGCGGGCTACCTCCGCCGCGACGTCCTCCACATGATCTTGGTCAAACCCCGCGTGTTCTCGTACCTCCGCGACCAAACAAACCCCATCTATTGCAACCCTGCGCTCGTCCTGACCTCGGACGACACGAAAAACCGGGAACTGATGACGCTCCTCAAGGAAATCGCCGATATCCAGCCGACCACTGCGTCCAACCAAGACATGGCGCCGTCCAAATTTACTCTGAAGCCTCAGTTGTACCATGAGTACGACCCCGCCTTCTTTCACGAGTCCCCCGTCCACCACGTCGAGGCACAGGTTGCCCGCCAGGACGTTGTGTTTAAAACGTGGACCGAGAAGAGCGACCCGATTCCCATGGTCCATCAATTGCAGCCTGGCCACCCAGACCTCCTTGCCTGCCGCGACGTGCTGATGGAGGACGGTGTGTTTCGCCTGCTACGCCTGTGCTTAAACGACCCGCTCCTTCAAACAGACGACAACGTGTATTCACGTATTCTGCACATCTTGACACTGCAGCTGTACATGGTGCACCAAGACGACAAATGGACGGACGTCGTGCGCGGCCAACTGGGACGGTCCCCCGACGAAGGCGATCACGGCGACGGTTCAAAGCGCCAAAAGATTAACCACTCGGCATTGGGGTATGTAACCAGGTGGAACACATCCGCGTCATGATGTTCGTTGTATTTCAACCGTTGATTAGGCCAGGGTCGATTCACAGCTGCAGCATCCTGGCCCGCCTCGCCGCGCGAGCAAATCAATTCAAGACTCAGGAAACGATCCAGAAACCTCTTTGGTCGGCCACGTTGTTCGTCTTGAAGGGGTACTTGAAGGCGATGGACGGAAACGAGGACGATTTGGTGGCCTCGTACGTCGCAACGCACGTATTCCCGACACAAGTCGACGGCGCGGCGACTAGTGGTGCGCCTGCCATGGACGCCAAAGCTCGTTTAGCTCTGCAAAAGAAGCGTCAGCAAGAAGCGTTGGCGAAAATGATGGCTCAGCAGTCCAACTTTGCAGCGCAGATCGAGAGCGACGACGAGGATGATTTGAACAGCGACGACCGATCGACGGACTCGACGTCCTCTGTGATTCCACCTCCAGAATGTAACATTTGTGCCCACTCAAAGAGGGCCGACGACCCCGTCGTGTACGTCGGACTGCTTCAAGAATCCACCCTTCGCAACCGGTACATACCTCGCACCAAATGGTCGAAGTCTTTGTTGTCACGGCTGGATTTTAGCTCGACAGGGCTTGACCGTTCCCATGGCCAGGCGCTGCATGCCCAGTTGTGCCGCCATGCCGTGCATTTGTCGTGCCTACAGGAATACACGTCGACGATGCGCCGCGAAACGTTTCTTGGCGCGCATAGTCAAATTGCGTTTGATTCGCAAGCGGGAGAGTTCCTCTGTCCGCTTTGCAAGGCGCTTTGCAACACGTGCGTGCCGTTTGTCGCGAGCCCTCCAACGTTTGCGTCGAGCATGGAGCAATACTTCCAGCACGCGCTCGACGCGGATGCTGTCACGACCTGGTTAACGACCGCGCTTCCCGGCCATATTCGACGCTATTTTTCGGTAAGTTGGTCATCATGTGGGTAGGCAGGTGGAACCACCGAGGGGGAGCACAGCCTGTCGATGCCACTGAACAAATCTCTTGTGTGGATGGTGTTGATGGATGCATGTTCGCAGGAGGACGGCGCGGTCCCGGCTGCTGGCAGCACCGTCATGCCATCCGCAATCGAAACATTTCTCGTATCAGCGAGCGCCCTGCGAGATTCGTTTCAAAGCGCGCAAAAAGGCTTCCGCCCCGTGGAAGTGTTACTCGACACCGTATCGAGCGTATTCCACTTGAGCCAACTCCAGGGTCTCTCGGCTGGATTTTGCCTCATGGACCTCCATAACCGGTCGAGCCTTCCGTCGTTGCCCACTCGCCTTGCGTCGATGTTCTCTTCAGATTCTGAAGCACTCGTTGATCCATTCGGACCCCAGGACGATGCTAAACTCCATGCCATTTTCATGATGCTCATGCAGATCAAGGACGTCATTCCTGCCGACTCGTCGCTCGTCCAGATTGATCGATTCGGTCTGGATCCTCTCTTCCGCCTCGACGCTGTCCCGGTCTCCCGTGACGCGTACTTCTTGAACAAGCCCTTGTTGGAACACGATCTGTTTACGCTCCTCCTCCTCGTGTGCAGCGGCATGCGGGACAAGGCCGACATGCTGTGGGCAATCCGCGTCTTTTGCTCGCTACACTTGACCCAAGTCCTGCTGCAATCGACCAAGTCCTTGGGGATATCTCAAGACATCACAAACAATGACGCTGGCGTGGCTGTCCCCGAAGCGTCGCCGTACGCCGCTCTGCGTGACCAGTTGGTGGCCCTAACCGCGTCGACACCCCACCCGATCGCCATCAGCCCCACGGCGCCGTCTGGCGCGCTGCTCCATTACCTCGTCGAAGCCAACCTGAGTGAATTCCTGCGGAAAGCGACGCTTTTGGCCCGGGCAATCTTTCAAGGTTGGAACGACCCCGACGCCGCACAATACTTGAATTTCGCGTCCTCCTTGCGCCTGTCCACCGACGTTGGCCAGCTCTGCACCCAACTGGGCGCGATGTCGTCGTCGACTTTCCTCGACCCGACCAAGTTCCAAGCGTGGAGTGTCCCGATTGCCCATTACATATCCCAAATGCGCTTGGACCATGTACCCCCACTCAGCTTCTTGGTCAAGGAAGACGCGGTTTGGGCTGCGCACGTGCCGGTTGTTCGACTCGCGCCGCTCTACACGGACCAGTACACCGCAACAGCGTCGTCGGTGTGTGCGGCAACGGGGCTTGTCCAAGAGTCCCCGGCCATTTGCTTGTTGTGTGGCACTGCCGTGTGCGGCGGGACGGACTGTTGCAAATTGCCAGAGTATGGCAACCGTGGAGGCTGTTCCCGCCACGCTTCGGCGTGCGTCGCGGGGAATGGCGCGTACTTCTTGACAAGGCAATGCCAGATGCTCCTTGTGAGCTCGGGCGGCCGCTCGTCGTTCTTTGCGTCGCCATATGTGGATGAGTTTGGTGAAGAGGACCACATGGTGCGCCGCGGCCGGCCGCTCTTCTTGCGGCCCAAGCGATACATGGCGTTGATGCAGTTGGTGTGGTCCCATGGCATTGCCACCGAAGTGTCGAAGAACCGCCGCACGTCTGAACAATTCATTCGGCCGTACTTTTACTAGCTTAAACATGACGAGCGCCAAGCTCGAAACGAAAAGAGGAGTTTGGATGTCGGGACTTGACAAATATCCAACGACAGGAGGGAATTACTTGAGAGCTGATGTCTGCTTTCGCAGCATCCGACCGCAATCTTGAATAGTTGGCTCTGCTTTGGGGACAAAGAGGTCGGTTGGGATCGTGGCAGTGGGAGCGGCAACTTTGGCATGGCCGGGCCGAGGAACTGGCGGCGGCGGCTCTGGTGGCGGCGCGCTCCCAAGGAAGAAAGGGGTTGTTTCGTCTGTCGACGGCGGCTGCTTGACTATGTCGTCGCGACTGGTTTCGAGATCTTGGTCGTCGTTGTTTCCAACTTCCGGGCCTCGTATATCAAAGCCCAACCGCATCGAGTCGTACGCGTCCATGATCTGCAGGACCCACGCCAGCAGCGACGCCCCGACCACGGATACCCTTCGGATGAGTTCAGGTGTAAATTGCGGCTCTTGCAGGATCACTCGGACGCGGGTCGCTTGTTTCTTAGTGATATTAGTCGCCCGAACTCGGAGTACGTTCGCGCAGAACGAGGATGAGTTGAGCATGTCCTGGCACCCAAGCCACGAGAGGTCGGGCACATGCAGCAGCACACCGACACAAACGAGGACGAGATGGAGTTCCTTGGGCGGCATCCGAACGACTTTGAGGGCAGCCAAGTCGTCCTTGGAGATGCCAAGGCGCTCGAGGGACTTGGGTCGATTTGACATCGCGCGGTCGCTGTTCTCGCCTTCCTGCGCTCCCTGGAAGTGGTTGATGCGGCCTTGCTTTGACCTCTGGACCGTGCCGTTCACCATGTTCGTCGGCGCGCCAGCGTACGTCATCTCTTGAACAGTTAAGTGCGGGACCACCCCGGCGCCGTTTTGGTTACTGGAGACATCCTGGAGAGCGAGCTTGGCCGCTTCCGACGGCTACCGAGTGTGTGAGTCAATCGTTGGAACATTAGTCGTGGAACCTGGAGGGAATCGAGCGCAAACTGCTCCAACGCGAGCTTGGCGCTTTCAACAATTAGCTTGTACGTCTGCGCGCCGATGAGACCACCCGTCAGACTTCTGTCCAGCCTGTTCACGACAACGACGGCGTTGCAGACTTGCCATCGCCGGAGTACTTGAAGCAACTTGTCGCCGGCGCCGATAGTCTGACCGTCGTCACTACCTTCTGTGGTGCTCACCGCGTCATGGGTCGATGGTTCTTGATCCTTCGTCGAGGTTTCAAGGATGCGAAAGGCATAGGTAAACGTGGTGGACTGCCGCATGCGCGGATGACCCGTTATGACTTGGATCACAGCGGGAATGTCCGCACTTGAAAACGCAGGTAGGACGTATCCTTGGAATGTGTTCAGGTGGAGCTTTAATTGGGGGCCGCATGTCACGCGTGGTCGCGGGTCGGTGCGTGCCGCACACACGAGTTGCGCCATCAAGTGTATGTGAATGTATGGGCTATTGACAGTTACACGTTGTTGCAGTTACACTTCCAAACGCCGTTCGACAGACGGAACGAGAAGGCGCACCGACGCAGGAGCGATGGCTCAAGAGCTGACGGAGAACGAAATCGCCGAGTTTCGAGAGATCTTCAACCTCGTCGATCGGGTACGACGTGCAATGACTGATGGCTGGCGCTAACGACGTTTGACTTGGCCAGGACCGAGGCGGGTCGATCACCAAGGCTGAGCTCGGCGAACTCATGGACACGCTCGGTATCAACACATCACCAGAAGAAATCGATCTCATGATCAATGAGATTGACCAAGACAGCAACGGCGAAATCGACTTTGACGGTGAGTTTGTGGCAGGTACATTCCTTTCATGGTGTTTCCGTGGGGTTTAGAGTTTGTCGCGGTGATGAGCCGCAAGGTGAACGCCACATACAGCGCCGACCAAGTCAAAGCTTCCTTTCGAGTAAAACGACAAGCACCACTTTGCAGTCCTCCTTGCACCCATGACTCACGCGTGCTTGATAGTTGTTTGAAAATCCAACAACGCCAGGGTTCATTAAGGTGGACCGCTTACATCGCGCGCTCACTTTGTACGGCACAGACAAGCTCACGTCCGATCAAGCGAGCGAGCTCATCAGTCAGGTGTGTGTGCCTTCACCCAAATGCATCGATGTCCATGGAGCTCACGTGCTGCTCCATGCAGCTCGAACCGGACTCAAATGGACTTATCAACTACGAGGAGTATGTCAATATGATGATGTCCAAATAGTATTAATATCCACTACTGGTATTTCGATTAAAAAATTGCCTGAGTTCGCGAGTGTATTTTTTTGTTGATGGCATGCAATTTAAATTCTTGCAGTGGCCGTTTCAATTTCCAATATAGATCCGTAACCGCCAAGAACACACAATTAAAGCACACGATTTTATTGAAAAATTGAAATCGACATAGAAATTCTAAGTGGAGTATGCATATTTTTATTTTTCGGCGCTCGCCAAGTTCACCGCGTTGCTTGTCACTTCGGCATCGCAGGAATTGACCCCAAGATGATGAACTGGTTCCTCATCGTGGTGGTGGTGATCATGGCGGTGGTCTTTCTCGCCGCCAACTTCTATATCTTGGTGTACTTTCAGCATCCTGATGACAAGAACACGGCGTACTTGCCCAAGTTCCTTGTGGTACAGTGTCCGTGCCACGCCTGTCGATCGTGGCTCAAGACACGAATCTCTTCACCTAGGTGATTGGCTTTCTCCTCGCTGAAGCATGCGTGCTCCTCCTGCCGTTGGACGTGGTACATACGGCAATTACATCTCGAGGCCATGGAGCTGACGAGGGCCATTGCGCAACATGTAGGCAAACAACTCGACTGCAATCGGGTGTAGCGCCGGGTGGAACCCTGCATGCGGCAACTTAGACATGGAAACTCTTTGGCTGATCGTGTTCATGTCGATCGCCGTTTTCCTTGTCGTGCTGCTGCCGTACTCGATCTACTACTACGAATCGGACGACGGGTTCGACGACTCGACCAAGCGAACGCACCGCTGGCTCGATGCACTCAAGCTCGAGATTGCGACAGTCATCGTGGTCGGCATTGTCATCGCCATCACGTACATCACGTCGTCGACGTCCGACATCCCGTACAACGTTATCGTTTACAATTCGACGGTCACAAACGACACGATCCAGTTCACCGACGCCGTTGGCGGCTTGCACGACTTCCTTGGTAACGTTCATTCCCCCACAGCGTCAAGTTTTTCCACCATCATGGGCATCTGCATGTCTTCTTGCCCTGCGTCTTCGTTGCAAGGCAGGTCTGGACAAACTAGTTCTTGACGCGCAAGTGGCGTAGACGGCGACATCATCAGCCCCAACGAACGCGTGTACGCCATGTCGCATGGCTTGAACCCTCTCGAAACGAGCATGCGGCTCGCGGTGTCGGTGCCAATCTACATCACGGCGCTCGTGAGCTTTGTCGGGTGGTTTGCATTCTCGATCTTTGTCGGGGTTGGGCTTGTGGCGCTCCCGTTGGACTTGATCTTGTACACGTCCTCTGTTGCTTCGTCTCCAGTGGACCTCACGATGCTGTTGCACAGGGCGTTCTTCTTCCGGCCCAAGTTCATTCCAGCGGATGTGTATGCCCAGCAAAAGATGTTGATACAAATTCGGTCCCTCGAGTTGATGGAAGTCGGGAAAGAAATCAAAAACTCCATGCTGGTGCGTCTCGCTCGTGGAATGAAGTAATACAAGTCTCAACAACGCCGCAGACCCACCCCGACGCAAAATTGTCGGCTCGCGAGCGCCGAAAGAACAACAAGCTCGACGCGATCACGATGAACAAGTTCAAACAGGTGGCCCTCGATGTTGGAGCTGCCGTCCGACGTGCCTGACACCGACCATCGTTCCAGGCCGTGTACTTGCTCGAAAAGGACGTTGCCGAACTCAAGCTGTGTCACGAAGACTACAAAAACTACAACCCGTTGGTTCCGTTGGGGAAGCTCGTCCTGGGCTTCATCGCGTCGATCGTGAGCTTTCTGTGGCTGCTTCAGATCATCCTCGGGATGGTCCCGCCACTCCCGATCCTGCCCTTTCTCAACGACTACTTTATCTGGTTTGACCAGTGGTTCCCTCTCTTCGGCACCATGTCAGTCGGGATCTTCTCCATGTACCTCTTGATGGCGTGCATCAAGGGGTGCTTTAAGTTTGGCATGCGCTGCTTCTGCTGTGCGGTATGTTTCCGCAATGACACGTATTATCGTGGTCGGCTCACGACTGGTTCTCGTATGCAGCTGCACCCGATGGAGTACAACGGGACGTACATGAATTCATTTCTGTTCAACTTGGCGTAAGTGACGATCGACGTCGTGGCGAGCCCGTTCGTTGGGGCCTGTGCATATCGTTGCTTGCTACACGTGACCCCGTGTTTAGATTGATTTTGTTGTGCTGCATCCCCGTCGTCCAGTTTAGCAACCAAGCGTTCAGCGACTACGTTCGACTCACGACAATTCAGAGTACGCGCGAGTGTGACGACTGGTTTCGACGCCCGTGTTTGTAGCCATGATGGGCATCCAGCTGCGGTACATGAAGGGGTTTTCCGTCTTTTGGGTGCACAACGTGTTTCTCTATGCGATCCTGGCCATCGTGCTCTTGACGACGCTGTATTTGGTACGCGACTGTCCCCCGTCGATGTGCTCTATTGAAGCATCGTCAGGCGGTGCGCCCCCGCGACACGTCCTCCAAGACGGATGCGATCCGCAAGAAGATTGAAAAACAAGTCGCGCTGGCAACGGCTTAACACTTTCCTTACACGTGTTTATATGCATTTCGGTCGTGATGGCTGGGCAAGTGAAACCAAGGCTCCAGTGACGTCTGCAAGTAGGTGAGGGCGGCGCCAGTCTCGTCCCTTTCGATTCAAAACATACATCGCTCGCCAGGTCATGGCCTCATCCACGACGTCATGTGATTCGAGTCGGTGGGATTTGTTGTAGAAACATCGCTAAAGGCAGTCGCTTTGCAGGGCTAAACAGGGTGCTGCGAAAATGGATGCTTCGATCGCCGTGATGTGCGCAGGAGTTGCCGCTAACGAATTTTCTTGTGGCGATCTGCTCAGTGTTTGGTTTCGCCGGAGGGGAGGGTCGTGGGGAGCTGGGGTGTTGGCGGGTCGGACAAGCGGCGGCATGGCGAGATGCAACGGCAGGTGCGGAAGTGGCTGGACCAGAGATGTCGGGTCGGTGATGAGCCGCCTTCACTTGGTTGACCGCGTGTCGAGTGCCTGACGTTTTAACGCTCTGGCCCTCCGTCGACTGACGAGGCGGAACAGACGCGAATGGATCCGATGGTTGCACCGGAGGGATGCGTCAGGCATGGCCATGACAGGATACACGCACAATGCGTGTCTCCGAGGTGTGGTGGCAGCTTCCCCAGCCGTCATGCCAGCCCTTTCGTGCCGTTTTGAGGTTGATTGTAATGAGGCTGGCGGCTCGGTGCACACACTTGCCAATGCACCAGTCTGGATCGCTCCAAGTGGGCAAGTTGGTAAACGAAACACCCGAAATGAGTGGCGCCAACTGCCCCATGATTCGTCGAACGGTCGTGTATCAACAGCGCTACCGCAGAACTTTGTCTCGGTGTGAATGTCATGACTTCAGTGGGGGAAACTTCGGAGATTCGTGTGGTTGCTGTGCTTGTTAAGCTGGTATGAGCGTTGGATAAGCTGCGTGGGCGGAAGGTACAAATGGCCGGCCGTGTCTGGTGCGAGGGGCACCTTTGGCAGTGGGGACGTCATTCTAGGGCGCCTGGTAAGTGTGAAAGCCAGAGAGCCGATGAGAAGGTTGTCGACAACAAGATCTAAATGAGGACAAAGAGCGCAAGGAGAGATTCCGACTTGGTTGGCCACGTCACGCTACACTTATTACCCCAGCTCAACCCATCGAAGGAAATCATTGCCACACTCGAGGGAGGTTCCACGGGGGGGGATTGTGATTGTTCCGCTGCCAGACAGCTCGGCGAAGCGACATGGGTGGATGAAGGCTCACCAGACGTGCATGTTCGACTCAAACCGTCCAATGCGCGCCGTCGTTGTCCGGGTCATTACACCGCCGGCGAAGGCTTGAACATGTCGTGGGATGTCGACGGGTGGACGAATGCAAAATATCGTGCCGTTTCAAGATTTGCCCTGACCGTTTCATTTGTAACCGATCGTGCCAGCGCACGGTCTCCATGCGACATGCACTCTGCATTGACAAGACATTCTGGAAGGACGACACGGAATTGGAGCCTTGCACAGGGTCATGAGCGCTCTACGCCATAGCGCTGCAAGTACCCCCCTCCTCGCGCCTTCAATACCCACGACAGAGCTAGTACACATCCATCAATGCCTGGATTACAGAGTGCGGCCCTCCATCTATGTCGCAGTGGTCGAAGATTCGTTCGAATGGGAGTAAAATCAATTTTTTGTCCAATCCGAAATCGTTTGACAGCGAATTCTGTCCAATGATATTCATTTTCGATTGAGATGCTGCGCTGGTCGGCCGATCGTCTCCGCCGAAGTGTCCTGTATGTACCAGGTACGACCCTCTTAGATCGACCTCCTCGAGCTAAAGACACGGGGCGCAGGCATCAATGAGCGTGCGTTGGACAAACTGCACGGCCTCCATTGCGACGCCGCGATTCTTGACTTGGAAGACGCCGTCTCCCCGTTCAAGAAGAACGAAGCTCGCGAATTGGCATGCGAGGCGGCGCGCAAAGGATTTGGGGCGCACAAAGAAATTGCCATTCGCATCAACTCGCTGTCGACTACGTGGGGCCGTGACGATCTTGCCCACGTCGTGTCCTCTGGTAACAACAAACTACGTCTACATCCTCGCATCGTGCACAGCTCACAACACATTCGATAGGAGCGCATGCGGTCGTGATCCCTAAGGTCGACTCTCCCAACACGCTGCTCGAAGTTGCGTCCATCATGGACTCGTTAAATGCCCCGCGGGACATGTCGATCTGGGCCATGATCGAAACCCCAATCGGAATCCTCAACCTCTCGACCATCCTCGCCACGCCCCACCCCCGGCTGTCGTGCCTCGTCGCCGGCACGTCCGACTTAAGCAAGGTATGTGAGGTCAACCAGCCTTCTGCATTGTCTTTACATGCACTGTCAAAAGCCGCTGCCTTTTTCACCCTACGGACTGTTGCAGGAACTCCGATGCGTGACGACGCCATGTCGGCATGCCCTCGTGCCGAGCCTTGCGTGGATCGTTCTGGCTGCGCGGGCGCACGGCCTCACGTCGCTCGATGGGGTGCACCTGGACTTGGCGAACGACGCAGACTTCGCCCAGCAATTGAATCAAGGGAAAGAGCTCGGTTTCGACGGCAAGACGCTAATCCATCCCAAGGTGCTCATTGACTGCCTTCACGATTTTAGCGTGAACTTGAACGACGCTGCATTCACAATTCATGCGGGGGGGGCATTTAGACCATCGCGGCAACGAATGCAGTGTTTTCTCCGTCGCAGAACGAGCTGGACGATGCGCAAGCGATAATTGCTGCGTACGACGAAGCTGTGGCCAACGGAAGCGGTGTGGCGCTGTACCAAGGCAAACTCATCGGTACTCGGCCCTCTCGCCGTCATTTGGTGCCTTTCAGGTGGACGTCGTGCTCATGTCGTGGCCGGGATGTTTGATAGAAAATTTGCACGTCGACCACGCCCGCAGCGTGCTGGCAAAGGCCGCGCGAATCGTCGACGCGATGCCATTGTGATGCCAAGCCTCTCTTCCGTGGGTAAACCAGCCATGCCAAGCTTATGATGGCGTCGCGGGCGACGACTGAGATGCCAGTTGTGTGTGTGGAGTAAAACAGGTGAAGTATCATTACATATCGTACAGCAGATTATGCACTGTCGAAAGGCCGAGCTCGCCATCGACAGCAATGTCGCGCAAGTGGGATGGAGCGATGTCATCGTCGTTGTGCAGCTGCTGTTGCTTGCTACCCCGCCACGACACGGACGTCGACCGCAGTGGGTTCATCGCCAACGTCTTGACCTGCCACGAGGATGGAGATGCAATGGGCGGAAGGGATACCATGTGATGTTGCCAGGGAGACGAGCGAACGGGGTAGTCTTGGTGAGGCGACGAGGACAGTCCTGTCAGTGACGACGCCACCTCTCCATCCTTGGACGACTCGTGCACGGGTGTGGTCGGTGGTGGCACATCGAGCGCCGCCTCTGCCGCGCTGCGCTTCCGCCGGTTGCACGGCGGAGATGGAGTTGACTGTACCACGTCGTCGTCATCGAGGGAGTCATGAGTGAACGGCAGCAGCGAGTGCAAGCGCAAGCTCGACGTGTGCATTTCGTCAGCGGTGCTGGTGGCGTGGCTGTCGTCAGCGGACCGCAGTGTTGGCGGCATGGCGTGGAGCGACGGGGAGGAAAACTCTAGCGGTGGTGCATTCAACATTGTCATGAGCTCCTGGTCCAGGGTCGCCGGCGATGACGTCGGTGTCGGTAGCTCCATCTGACTGTAGATCGATTCGAGGTACTCTACGATGAGCCACTTCTTTTCCCTCATCGCGACTTCAAGCGGCGTCAAGTCGTTGGCATCAACGAGGTCCACGCGAACGTTCAAGTCGACCAGTCGCTGGAGAAAATCGAGGTGGCCGCCGAACGCTGCCTGATGCGCAATGCTCACACCTCGCAAGCTACACTTGTTGAGGTCGGCCCCCAGGGCATGGAGGACCTCTAGCACCTTGATGTGTCCATTTCGAGCTGCCTGGTGGGCCGCCGTGTGTCCATTCGAGTCTGTCTCGTTGATGTCGGCACCATTCATGATCAAGGACGCGACGAGATCGTGGCGTCCTTTCCGCGCCGCGCGCTGCAGCAGTTGCAATTCCTCAATGGACGAAGTGTCTGCGGTTGTAGCCGACGACAGCCCTCGGCGGTGGCGACGGCCGGCATGGCCACTCGGCAGCATGCTCCACACTCGGTCGCAAGCAGCTCTGTAAGATCTTGGACTCGACGACTCCTTGTACTCCATCGAAGTTTCTCCACATTCGACACAAAAAAGTGTAACGAGCCGTTTCAATGCCACGCCGACGGCATTTTGTTCGGCCGGTCCTCGTAACGGCAAGCAGGGCAGCGAAGGGTCCGCGATAACATCATGGGCGCACAGCTCATCGCGTTGGTAGCGAGCGGTGCCAGACCCCCTCTGTGGGGTCGGCGGCGATGGAGTTTGCCGCGATGACCTTGTCGAAAAATATTAAAACGGCGGTTTCGGAAACCTGTGCGCATTTTCCCTTCGAACTTCGTTTTATTTTCACGACGTTACTGCATGATGTTCCATGTTGGAAGGCGTCGGTGGCGGGACGGGTGATGTGAGTCAAGCGACGGTTGGGGAAGGTAAGTACGCGATGCTATCAGTGAAAGGAATGGCAGGTAAGCCATCCGTGGTTGGCATGGGGCTGGTCATGCGGTGGTGTTGTTGGTTGAGGAGACGTCGCCATCGGCTATTGCAGCGATCACAGGTGCGCTGGCGATTGGTGCAGCGGGCGGTGGAAGCGGTGGATGTTGTGTGGGCTGCTTACGAAAGCACTGTCGCAACACCGAAATGGGATACATGCATGCAACCGAGGGAGGGGACCTACCACAATGAGCGGCTTCTCGTCCAGCACCACCCCGTGCACGAGACTTTGCGCCAACACAGCGAGCTCGATCGACGGGAAGGCGACAAATGCCTGGCCTTTGAGTCGCCCTTCCGTGAACAGTCGAATGGACAACGCTCTAGACGGTTCAACCGTTAGTTGGCATCCCCCTCGAGGTGTATGCCTACGCCATAGCTTGGTCCGACTCGAAAACGCTGCCAAAGATGTACGTCAAGTCAGACACATCCACGGACGCGGCAATATTCTTGACGTAAAGCACATGCGATGGCTCGCCCACCTGGTAGTTTTGCATGTGTTTGTGCTGTGCCAGCTCTACATCGAAGGTTTGCATCGGCCTACATCGCAGACGACGGCGTACCTTCCGCCGACAGCCGTGTGCGCGCCAGCTCCGCTTCCGAGATGACACCCGGCCGTGGCATCACCTTGGTGGTGGCGGCGACAGCTACGTCCTCGAAGATATTTGCCATCGCTTCCGGTTTCCGTGATTTCGGAGGAGCTAACTTGAGTGGAACCGCAACCACTGCGTTCGTACGAGGCGGTGTCGGCTCAGAGAGCGTTGGAGGCTCTGGCCGACGGATTGCACCGTTGGATGATGGAGTCGAATGGGGCGATGGCGGGTTGGCTGGAGGCGTTGGCGGCGGTAATGGCGGAACGACTCGAATCCGCTTGGTGGAGAGGTTCCTTGCAGCAAGATCAGCATCGTCGTCGTCGTCTTGTTCTTCGACGAATACCATGTCCCGCTTTTGCTTTCTCGTGTCGTTCTACCAGCGGGAAACGAAGCATGACACGGCCGTGGCAGAGCCAGGACTGAACGTACGGCCACGAATGACGCAAAGTGACCTGGAATCGCGTTTGGTTCAAATGGCGGCGGTAAGTTCATCTTGTTCATTAAGTGCAGCACTTGCGTGTAAAACGTGGGTAGAGCCATGAGAGCTAGACCGCCAAGATGAAGGACCGACGGGTCGTGGTGAGCACGCACCGTTCGCAATGTTGAGAACGACGTCTGGACTTGCCTTGGGATATTTGTACTCTAGCAGTGGCGATGGAGGAAAGTGCAGCCTGACGAGAGACGGGTGAGTGGTGAGAGCGGGATGGGTGACTCGATACCCTAAATGGGGTGCCAGTGGTGCAGGATGACGCCATGCACATGTGATCGTAGGAGGAGGAGGAGGGTCTCGAGGGAGTGGTGGAAAGATTGCGGCTGGTTCTGCTGATGCAGGACCTGTGGTGGGTGGGATGTTGTGAAGTGGTTTAGTTGAAGCGATGTCTGGTGAAGGACGGGCCGCCTCGAGCTCTGGACCGTCGGTGACATCGTAGACTTTGGCAAAAATGTCATGATCCGACAAGCGCATCGTGTTCAATCGAGCAAGTGCGCTCATGCGTGTGGTGTTGTCGAGGAACACAGCGAGAGCAGTCTTGGATTTCTACTTGGGTGGCATGACGACGGGTTGGATAGGCCGATCGTGGACGAACCTGGGTCTTGTTTGCGAGTACTCGGATACGCGTCGCGCCGACATGCTTGAGCAGTGTTTCAATTGCATCGGTCGACAACGCGGCCGGCAACTGCTTCACCTGGAGGACAAGTCCTTCCATTCTCCCCGCCGCTGCTGCTTCCGGCATTTCGAAAATGCGGTGTTTTCATTGGATTCAAATTGCTTTGGTATGTCCAACGAAATTGAGCTATTGAATGTATTGCCATTTCATTGGTGAATGACTTCCTATATATATCCAATGATATCGTGTATTCTTCTAAACGTCTGATGTGGAGCAGCGGCATCTCGGGCACAATCGCCGCCGTCTCGGGGATGCTGGGGAAGCTCTCCTCTGACGATAATGCGTCGCTGATTCAAGACATTCAATCATTCTGCCAGTCGCATCAGCATGAGGCATATCCTTGGTTGAACTGCACCTGGGCCATGCGTGTTGTGCACGTTGTATTCTTCGCCGCCATGTTGGTGTCAAACGCTGTCATGCTGAGTTTCTTTGTCCGGGGGCTCCATGAGACTGACTCTTTGACAGCGACCATCACAAGCTCTGCATCGAACTTCGTCACGACGGTCGGTCCCTCGTCGAATGCGCTCGCGTGATCTTCTTGTGTGTAGGCCTTGGTTGGGTACCTCGTCTTTCACGAGCACTTGCCGTTGCAATGGTGGGCCGGTGCAAGCATCATTCTCCTTGGCATGGGGCTTCTACTGCACGGCGCCAAGGACGATCATGAAACGAATGAGAAAAAGTCCATGTAACTCGAGCTGTTGTGTATTCAGCCAGGTCCGAACGGCGATGTGCTGTCGATGGGTTCTCCTCATTGCATGTCCTACTTTCATGAGCACCATGGCCAGGACCCAACATGCCCGTCAAAGCGGCGGCCTTCGACGACAACAATTGGGATCGTCCTTCCGTCGCCATCTTACATCGCCACCATCCTACACCAAGGTGCCGACTAGGGACGTCTCCGGCACGCGGCATCGCTCTACAGGACGCCACTACCGTATACCATGATGCCAACACCCTTGGCAAAACCTCGTGTCGGAGAATGCACTTCGACCAGACCAACCACCGCAGCCTTCCCGGTTCCACAGTTCTTCGAGGCTGTGGCGACGTCGCCGCTGTGCAGTCGCCCGCTATCGATCCGTCCCTTTGTGATGATGAAGCGCAAGGATTCAAGAAGGTGGGGGTGGACATGTTTCCAACAAGATGACGACGTTGTTTGGCGGACATGCATATCGAGTGGGGAGGTTGTTCTTATATTACACAAACGCAGCCAGCCGCAGGTGACGACGACTGAGCGACTCTATTGCGACACGGACGACGTGCGGGCAAAGATGCTGCCTCGTCGGAGCGCCGTGACGACGTCTTCGCGGGCGCTGTCGGGCAGTTGGTTGATGAGGTGCAAAATGCCAACAACAGCCGCTTGGGGGTCTTGGAGACCGAGCCGGGTGACTTCGCGCGCGATGCGCTCTTGGTGGAGGCTTTCCAACCGCTTGGAGAGGAACTCGGCGTCCGCTTGCAGCCACGCGACGACAGCTTGGTCGTTGGCCCAATTGCCGGCCGGTTGCTGGGCCTTGAACCACGCGGCGACCGTTGCTTCGGTCGACGCAAACGACGTGTGCATGTCAACGTTGGATGCTTCCAAGATCGAGCGGCGGACGCGGAATTCCGCCAGACGACGCTTGAGGCGCCAGTAAAAGTACGTGCGCGCTTGGTCCCAAGGCACGACGTCGCGGATCACGTGCTTGGCCTTCATACGACCAGGGGTGTCGTGTAGATCCCCAAAGTGGGTCGCAATTTGGGTAAAGATGGGCAAGAGCTTGGATTCACGCAGGCGAATGTCGCGAAGGACGTCGCTGCGGGTCACGTCGTCCGCCGCCAACGTCGCCAGTGTCGCGTCCAGACGAACGAGAACCGAGTCGATGCGGTGGGCTGACGCCAGCAACGCAGGCTTGCGGTACTTGATTTCGATGAGGCCGGCAGGTTCCAACACCCCCCCACGGCCTTGAGGATCGGCGTACATTTCCATCACGTCCGAGTTGATGGTCGGGTCGACGACGACCCACGCGCCACCACGCAATTCCGCGAACGGCGGGATGTACACGAACACGGGCTGCGTGTAGTGGACGAGACCGTCGACGATTTCGGCGCCAAACTTGAGGACTTCGTCAAACATGTCGCGCTGACCGCCCGAGAACCCGCGCCAGTTGGCAAAGATAAACAGAGGAAGGTCTTCGCCCTGAAAGTCGCGGATCGCCGTTGCCGTCTTGTGCGCCGAGTCAGGAAACCAAACTTGGCCGGCTTGTTGGACAGTGTGCTCTTGGGTTGTGGGAGACGCCGGGTCGGCGGGCGTGAGCTTCTCGACAGTGCGGACTTCGGTGACAACAACACCGACGGGGATCCCGCCCAAACGACCCCGGCCCACGACGACAGTCTTGGCCCAGGCGCTGAGGGATTCAACAAACGAATTGTTGTCCAAGAAACCCGATTGCCACGTCGAGTCGACAATCTTTCCCGTCAAGAGTTCACGGGGATCGTATGCGACGCGGGTCGGGGTATACGTGATGGCCCGGTCGATCGTGTCGACGCCCGTGATGTCGCGGATCGGCAACGGCGCGCCGCGGGTGGCCGGCACAAACGAGAGCCAGTTGAGGATGCTTGCAATCCCGTGGAGGTGGTTGTTCGACGTCAAGTGGGTCACACCGTTGTTGTGCATGATCTTGATCCCTCCAAGTTGATCGTTGGACGAGTACACTTCCTTCCCCATGAGCTTATTCAACGCTTGGAAACCCGTCAAGATGATGGGCGCGCTTGTCACGTTTTGCACCGTGCGTTGGCCGAGGCGCACCAAGTACGCGCCGATCCCGACGGAACGGCCGCACACGTACGTCAACGTAAAGATATCGCTGTACGCACGAGAGCTTTCGCCGGCAATCGTGCCACTGCCACGAAGGTTTTCCACACCCAGGTCCGATTCCTCGCCAATGATGTCAGTGATCACGTAGCGCACTTCGCCGTTCGCGACAACTTTCTCCGAGCACTCGATCGCGCCGACGCTGTGGAAGTAGTCGTAGTCGGCCTTGGTCAAGTACAAGTACTCAAAGCCCTTGGTCGGGTCCGACACGTCCTTCCACTCGACTTGGTACTTGGCCTTGACTGTTTCGGCCATGCCAATGCGAGCGCCCGAGTTTGCGGCAAAGTAGAGACGAGGGAGCTTGTGTTCGCGGGCATACTTGGAGGCCAGGTCAAACAGCTTGTCTTCGCGAGTCCCAAACGAACCAGCATTGTACGTGATGTCGTTGGCGATCAACACAACCGATCGGCCGGTGGGCACTTCGGGCGTGTACAGCGTGATGAGCCACGCGACCATGCCAACGTCATTGAGACCGCGAGGACGTGCCACGAGCTCGACAGCGTTGTCGTCGTTGGTGAGGACAAATTCCTTGGATTCGACCAAGCGGTGGGGGATTTTAGTCGCGACGCCCTTGGACGCGCGGTCCGATGCAAACTTGCGCCAGTTGCGGACCGACGCGTTCTCAATGAGCTCCAAAAAGTCGTACGCGTACAACGTGTCGGAAGAGCGCTTGGCAGCTTCACGCTTGACGTCAAAGGGGTACGAGACAGGGTACGGAGTCGACACAGGGGTGGCGTCCCATTCCCCGACAACGTCGTCGCCAATGCTCGAGAAGATGGCGACTTCGGCGCCGTTGCGCATTTCATGTGCTTCCACGTACGATTCCACGCGGAGGACGTAGCCGGTCGGGTTGGCCGCAACGAGGCGCACGGGGATGCTGTACGCGTTGTCGTTGAACTTGGCCGAAATTTTGATTTCGACTTGGCTCACCTTGAGCTGGTCCAACCGGGCCGCATAGCGGCTCGCCAAGATGCGAATCACCGCTTCCAAGTAGTGCGGATCGACGACGGCTTCCGGCACGACGTTCATAAACACGTGGTTGTTCTTGATGGGCAGGTCCGACTTGACCGACCCCATGGCCAACTCGAGCGCGTTGAGTGCTTCCACCAACGTGCGTTCCGGGCCCGGGTGTGCATCAAATTGCGATTGCACATCGAGCTTTTCCAGTTGTCGGACCACGGCGCGAACAAAGAAGCGCTGGAATTGTTCCTTCTTGTCGACGCGGGCGGCGGCGAGCGCGCTCTTCTTGGGCGTGCAAAAGTACAAGTGCACGTTCTTGTCCTTTGAATCCGCTGTCTTGACGCTGTAGTTGGCCAAGCGCTGGAGCTCGAGCATGTACGCGAGCGGCGCTTCCATGTGGCGCACGATCGCATCTTCCACGTACCCCGTGGACTGGCGGAACGTGTAGATGCCCGGGTACAAGTGATACGTCGACGAGGCGTCGACAACGTTGCGCAAGTGGGGCTTGACGCTGAACGTGATGCGGCGCACCAAGTGGTTTTGCATGGTTTCTTTGTGGTACGCCACAAACACGTTGAGCTTCTCGAGCGTTGTGTCTTCGTTCTCGGCTTCGTCCAGCAAGATCACGTGCAGCACATTCACATATTGGACCTTGGTGAGGCCAGTGAGCATGTTGCGCTTCGGGATGAGGTCCATGACGAGCTCGAACTTCTCCTTCAATTGATCCAACGTTTTGAACGCGACGATCACACCGTGGCGGTTGACCGTCGGCGAGATCTTCTCGACAGAGTACTTGGAGTCCGAGTCGCTGCCGGTCGAGTCGGACCGCGCAAGCGACGTCAGGCTTGGCGAGGACCCCTTCTTCAGGAGAGACGCTAGGTCGTCGTAACTTTCGGCCTTGTTCATGCTGGCTTGGCGCACCGACATTCCGTCGTTTGACGGGGACTTGAACTCAAACTTTTTGCCGAGGATGCCGTTTTCCGCCGATGTTGCGTCCGTCTTGGAGATGATGTACGACCGGTACACGCGGCGAATGTACAGGTTGAGCGCAACTTGGCGGATCTCGGCATCGGCGTGGTCGACGTGGCTGATGAGCAAGTCAAAGATCGGCGACGACTGGTCAAGCAACTCTTGGAACTTTTCTGTTTCGTGGGGCTGGCGGGTCTTGTCGCTCACGATCGCGCGCAAGATCGATTCCATTTCCAACACACGGTCCGAGTAGCTCGGCATGGTGCGGTCGACCAAGATGTGGCGCGCTTCGAGCGACACGAGCGAGTAGTCGCGGCCGCGGAAGTTGGCAATGCTCTCCAGCATGCGCACGTAGCTCGAGATGGCCTTCTTGTCGCCGCGACGGATATGGCGAAGCACTTCGAGGAGCCACTTCGATCGGTTGTCCACGGCAATGTGGGCGCGGGCAATGCCGTACACGGTGGCCAACGACCCCGAGTTCTCCTTTCGCAGCGCCATCACAACGTCTTCCACATTGTGGCCTTGTGCATATGGGTTTTCAACGTTAAAGTACTTGGCAATCAAGTCGTACACGACGCGTTCGCGGCGCGTTTCCAAGCCGTTTTCAAACTTGGGGAGGAGCTCGCGCAATGGGGCGATCTTTCCTTCGTAAGCGTTCGCTTCCGACGGAATCGAGAGGGTTTTCTTGTGGGCGTCCAACGCTGCCGAGATCTTACTCACGTCGAACGGAGCCGACTTGTTCGATTCGCGGTATGCTTGCATGTGGTCGCGGATCTGTTCGTACACGTGGGCAGGCATGCGGCTCGCCAAAGCGCTGAGGGTTTCGCTGATTTCGTCAAGCGGCAACAGGGGATCTTTGAGCGCCGAGTCGAAGAGGTCGTTGATGGCACGCTGGACGAGGTCGTCGGGGAGCTTGAACCCGTCCAAGACAGTCGTGATGGTATCGATCGCCTTCTTCATGACGTAAAACGACTTGGTGCTGGCGTTTTCAGGTTCGTTGGAGAAGTTGGGGAGTTTGCCCAAGAACTGATCCGACAGCTTGACGCACGACGGGTCGTCCAATTCCAAGTTTCCGATCAAATCGCCTGGAGCCAACACGGAGCCTTCGGGCTTGACGTGGCGCACGACACCGTCTTCAGGCGTCAAAAGTGGCATATACATCTTCATCACTTCCACTTCCGCGTACGGCGTCCCTCGGCGAAGCTTGGCTCCGTCCTTGGTCAGATAGCGTGCCAATTTACCCGCCGCATTCGTCACCAAGCGCGTGGGATCGTACTCGTTCGTGAACACGCACGTGTTGCCATCGACGATCAAGCGCAGCCCTTGCGCTTCCTTGTTGGCGTACGCGACGTGGGACTTGCCGTTCAAGAGGACGAGGAACCCACCGTCGCTCAGCGTGCGGATGTTGGCTTGCACGTACGAGTCATTGCAGTACAATGTAAACGTGATTTCGCCAGAGCGGGCGGCGCGGATCTTATACTTGATGCCTTCGTAGATAAGTTCGAGCTCGTCTTCCTGTTGTAGGAGGTCGTTGCCGGGAATCTGACCGCGTTCCAGCTGCGCCACATACTTTTCTTGGCGGCTGTTGGACGCTTGATACGCGAGGCACATGGCTCCGACGAGGACAACCATGAGCGTGTCGGGGCGGCCTTGCACCGACACTTCTTTGTGGCGCGCAATGCGTTCGTCGAGCCACGATGTCGAGATGCGGTTGTTCTTGAAGTCCTCGGACTCCATCATCTTGACCAAGTACTCGACTGTCGTGTTGATCTCACCACGGATGCTGAGTTCCTTCAGGGCCAAGATCAAGTTCTTGCGAGCGCGTTCACGCGACGTGCTCCACGAGAACAAGTGGCCGATTTGCGAGTCGGCAAATTCGTGCACACGACCCGACGAGTCGACCGAGAAGTAGCCCCACACATCCGGCGTACTACGGAAGTTGAGTTCTTCGATTTGGCCCGAGGTAGGTTGGAAGCCCGCGTTCGGGTCTTCAGCCGTAATGCGCGCGGCAATGACGTGGCCATGGGGCGGTGCCTGCTTTTCCGTGTCAAAGTTGATGGGCGACTTGCCAAACGAGTCCTTTTGGTACAGACGGCGAACGTCCGGGATCAAGTACAGAGGGATCCCCATCGACACTTGAAGCTGGCACGCAGGAAGGTTGACGCCAGTAATCATTTCCGTGACCGGGTGTTCGACTTGCAAGCGCGGGTTCAATTCCAAGAAGAAAAACTTGTTGCCCGTTTCGTCGGGCTGTTCCGTGAACAAGTATTCGACCGTCCCGGCGTTCGCGTAGTCGACTTCCTTTGCCAGTCGGGTCGCGGCCAACATCATTTGGTCCCATACTTCCTCGGTGGGTGCGAGCACTGGTCCTTCTTCAATGATCTTTTGGTGGCGGCGCTGGACGGAACAGTCACGGCCGGACAATGCAATAGCGTTTCCGTACTCATCTGCCAACAATTGGACTTCCAAGTGGCGCGACTTGGGCGCGAGCTTCATGACGAAGATAGGAGATCCAGGAATTTCACCTTGCACAGCAGTGTACCCTGCGATAACGTCTTCCTTGCGCGTAATTTTTCGGATACCTTTACCCCCGCCGCCTTCACTGGCTTTGATCATGACAGGGTACCCAATGCGCTCGCATTCATCTAAGCAGTGGTCTGCGTCGCGAATGGAAGCGGCCTTGTATACTTCATCCGGAATGTCTTGCAATTCCTTGTAGTTGACCGAGATCCCGTCGCCGTTCCATGCGATTGTGGGCACCTTGGCAGATTGTGCAATGATCGTGGACCCGATCTTGTCTCCCAAAGCACGCATCGGTTTGCCGGAGGGCCCAACGAAGAGAATCTGTCGTGTCGTCTTTGCCAACGTTTCGGGTAAAATCGGATTTTCGGACGCGTGGCCCCAACCAGCCCAGACGGCGTCGACTTCGAATCGTTCCGCGATTTCAATGATGAGATGGACGTTCGCGTAGTTGTTGTTGTTGGACCCCCCTGGAACTTCGACAACTTGTTCCGCCATGCGAATATATTCCGCATTCGCGCGCAAATCCTCAGGAGTTGCCATCACGACGAACTTGACCATACGGTCGTTGGCAAAGGTTTCATACGACCACTTGCGGATTGATCGGATGGCCTTGACGGCAGAGATACCGTTGTTCGCGATAAGCATCTTCGTGACAGGTCGACGCCCCTGCATTTCCTCCACATACTGTTCCATCGACGTAAAGTTGTGCAGACGCGAGTCCGCGCGGGCTTTCCGCAGGGACTGATGGAGTTGCTCGTCGGCCATCGCGCTTTTTTGAGAATGAATCGCAGGCGGGGAAAACCCTTGGATTTTCCGGATACCTTTGGCATACAATTCCCCATATTAACCGCGTCGGGACGCCATGGTATCCGGACAATTTCCCCGGCATGACGTCATGATCGGTGGGTAGGGTTCAAGCGAGAGCTCGTCATTAGCTGGCTGTATGACGAGGTGTGGCCCCCGTTCAAGTTTGGACGGACATTCGTATATACTTTGTTTAGTATAAAAATAGCACAATATGTTATGTCAGATGTTTTCGATCTTGCAACTCGAGGTCGAATTTCCACGATTATATAGTATATTTGTAGTAAACAAGGTTGGCCTTAGGTCGTGGTCGCCGTGTCCCATTTGATTACCTTGAGTTAATGGGGGTCGGGTTGTTTACCAACGACCAGCCAATCTGTGGTCAGTCCCCTCGCATATGCACCGCATCGGCCGACTTGACGCGCACGACGCAAGGGGTGCAGGTGGGCAGAGGGCCGCTCAAGCCAGTGCTTTCACAATGAATGTACCCGTGCTCGCCAAGGTCGACGACCACGGAGTCTTTCGCACATGCGGGAGTATCAGTCTTTGTGAGAGGGGACATGAACAGGCACAACGGGGCGTGGCCGGCGGGAGCGCCAGATCTTGCTTTTGGATCGTTAGGAAGTTGCAGACACAAATTGACAGGGTTGCCATGTGGCTGCATCAGATGGCGCCAGCCGAGCAGAATTGGCGGGTTGTCGCGACGCTCGAGTTGGACGGCTGGGGCCAAGACATGGTACTGGATTTTGAAGGGGGGGGTGTCAACCGTGGACACTTCATCTTGGACACACTTCGTCGCCAACTCATGGTTTAGTTATTGCCGGCGACAACCATCTCCTGCCCGAACTGTTCCACTCGAGTAGCCACAACCACCAGACCAGGGAAGGCCCCAGGGATTTGTGCCGCTCTTTTGCTCTCTTCGCGACATCGGTAGCTGATTGGTTGGTTCGGCGTCTCTCCAAAGCCAATCCGATGTCGTACGCTAGGAGCATGTTTTTGCTGCAGTCAATTTGTTGCGAGTATTGATTGGATAAAATTCAACCAATCAATCGGGACATTCCGAGAGGATCTCAAGACATAAACCGTCGCGGCGATGTCATCGCGAGCCGACACGCACGCCATGAGCATCTTCTTGGCCAGGAAGACGGCGCGCAATTCCCTGCTTGTCCGTCGAGATAAGCCTCTAGAAGCTCTCTCCAGCGACGAGTACCTTGAACGGACGGGGGTGAAGCTCTTTGCCGAGGACGCGATCAAGCAATTTGTGCTAGACAGGTCCGACAGCGTCAATCGGTACTTCGAGCGGTACTTTGCCAGGTGCATACCGCACTCCCTGTGTGGCGAATTTGATATGAACTGGGATGTGCTGGCTAGCGTTGTGATGCAGTCGCATGTTGAGGGGCGAAAGTTTGAGTTCGTCAACGCCAACGTGCGCAACCGCGTCGCATTCATCGCATATCTGGAGCAAAACTTAGCTGGTGTAGATGACAATACAGGTAAATCGTTACCCTTCCCGCCTTATTCTCATGGAATCACTTGTGACCCCGCAGAGCTCACAGTCGAAGACATGCATCAAATCTTGGCGCTGCGGTGTCCAGGATTCCCACGTCACATCATGAGCCAGGCCACGGCGCACATCGACGTCACCCGCGGCCCTAAGATCAACTTTCGACGACTGTTCACGTGTTTCAAAGCGTGCTTTGTGTACAACGGTACAACTTCCGATTTCATCTAGCAATCTTCTCATCACTCTAGTTTCAGAGTTTCTTCGCTTTACCCACGACATCTACGGCCACGTCTTGCAAGGCGACACGAAGAAAGCTCTCGATTCCGTCCTCACTGAGATCCAAACGTCGGATCGGAGGCGCAGTAGCGTCATCGCGGCAAAATTCGGTGAAAAGATCGTCCTTCAACTCCAAGCTGCCCACGCTTCGTCGTCCGAGCAGTACGTCCTTCCAACCGTGAAAGTCCCAAGTAAAGTGCTTTACCAATCAGATTCTTCATGCCGCCCATGTCCCTGTTGGAAGTATGTGTGTACACGTCGGTGTCGTTCAAACAAGTACGAACGACGATTGACACCAACGAGCGCCTCGTGCAAACTTGTGTTGATGATGCAGTTCTGCGGCGCATTCTTGGAGCACCACGTCGTGGAAGCAAGAATCCATGACGTGCAAGTCGCATACGAGAAGATAGCAGAAGGCGCGTTTCGAACTGTCAAAGGAGGCGACGCCCACGATGACATTGAACAGTACGATTCCACGTGAGATCGCATGTTGTCATAAGCGTTATCGGGAACGGATAGGCGGAAGGCATCGCTGAAGAAGCGGCGGTCGTCCAAGTCCAAGAAGAATTTCTCGTGAGGCTGTTACAGTGCGCGAAATAATTATATGCGCGCATTGATATCTTCAGGAAATCGCGATTAATGCCAGATAATACATACACCAAGACTTCGGAGATTGTTTCCCATGAAGGGAACACCTCCAAGTTAAATTGCTACAGTACCATACGGAGTACATCTGTTAAACTTGAATTTACCAACATGAGAGGAGTATGGTTGAATTGACCCAGTCTGAGGCATCGGAAATATTTATATGCGCACTGCGTTTTAACCTGTCTTAAGGTGAAAAAGATGCGGAAACAAATTGGTGTGGGGATTTGGCCAATGAATAGGCAATTTTGAGGCGCGAATCACGACAAAATTGTATTCGGTCCACGAAACATCATGGGAGGATGCAAGAGTATATTAGTGGGTGCAAAATATATCTGGAAAATATATGTTTGAACGCCCATCTAAATGTCGCACGCTGTATATCCGAGCCCGAAATAAACCTACAGCGGGAAATTTTGAATATTTTCTCGACGTTGAAGGATCCGGACATTGTACCTTAAGCTGCTCAATCGCTCGAATCCAATTGGCTGTACTGCGGGGTGTTCACTTGAGTACGATAACTTTGACCGACTTTCCCCACTATATTTTGACAGATACGGTATCCTGACACGCAAAACCAAAGATTATTTGGAATATCGCGAAATTGGTCGAAATATCAAGACATTTGGTAGTATCCAGACGCAAGCTTGTGGTGAGATCCATTTCAACAGAATACAGGTATCTTCTTGTATTGGGCAAAATTGAAAAATTTGACCATTGATACGCATACTCGTAAATATTTCAGCCAATTAGAGACGACCGCAAACGAATCCTGTTCCATCGATAGTTGATTCCAGCACTTTTCGTCGGTGACAGCTCAGTCGGCGCGGAAGGATGTCGTCGGTGACGATTGAGGTGCCTTATGTGAAGAACCAAGTGAGATTCGTCGTGGAAACGTCGTTGGCAAAGGAAATACAGACCGCGACGATTGCATGTACGTGATTGCGCGAGTCGAATGATGTGCCGCGGCTTTGTGGTGTCATCACAAGATGTGTTTGACGTAGTGCGGAAAGCGTGCAAGCTTGACAGGATAAAAGAAGACGTCAAAGAAGGAATGATCCTCGAAGAAGAAGACTTCATCAAGTGGATTCGACACTGCAGTGGCATTCAGACGGAAAAGGACTTTCGATCGACGCGATCGATGGTTGAGTTGTTGTACAATACGTTCGTGCCGTACAGCGTCGACATGGTCGATCTGTCCGTGGGTTTTCTCGTCTTTCTTGACGGTACAGTCGAAGAGAAACTTCGCCTTGCGTTGGAGCTCACTACGAAGGACGACTTCCCCATTCTCACGGAGGGCGCGGTCGTGCGATGCTTGACGAATATCCTCCTCGGGCTCTACAGTCTCTTTGCCAGCGGCGGTCCCGCGAACACGGATACGTCCGTCAACATTTTGGAAACGATGCAATTTAGCGCGTCGCAAACGGTCGTCGAGATCACGGACCATCAACCCAAGTTGACATTCGACGACGTTTGGGATTGGTACCTCCTCATGGGTGGTGAGCACGCGCCGTATTTGAAGCTGTTAGACCTGTCGTATTGGCGTCACCAAGAAGCATTCTTATTGCAGCCTGCCACGGCCACCTCGGACTCGTCGTCACCGCTCGTGTTCACGGTGACCCATCAGAGTCAGTCGTTGCATATTGGCGCAGCGCATGCGATCGAGCTCGAGGAACTGCTGCTGGCGTCGCGGTTCACGGTGTTGCAGCCCCAGGTCATGTACGACACGTTTCTTCACCACACGATCGACGGGTGGTTGGATTTGGCCACGTTCGAAGAATCGCTCAACGAACTCACGTGCATGACGTGCACAAACCACCTCGTGGACGACGACAAGTTCATGACTAGCATGCGCGCGCTCTTCGCCAGCTACCTCGGTCCAAACGACACGAAAGTTGAAGCGTTCGAGCTGGCCGCAGGCTTTTCGCTCTTTTGCGATGGCTCCAAGAGCGACAAATTGGCGGCGGGGTTCCATTACTTCGACACGGACGACGCCGGCGAGCTGACGAACGACCAGTTGTGGCGATTCCTTCGATCTGTGATCGTCACGGTCTTGGGCTTGGTCCCCAACACTGACAATTCGAGTCTCGTGGATGTGATTGACGGCGCCGCCACCGAAATCATGGACCAAGTGTCCGACCCCACGTACACGTTTGAGCAATTTGGGCAATGGTATAACGAGGGCGGGTTCCAAACCATGAGCTGGCTCGAACTCCTCGACCTGCGAAAATGGAGTTTTGTCTGGCCCGAGTTCAACACGGCCAACTTTGCTACGTTGAACGAGAACGACCAGCAGCTCCAGCCCGTGTCGGCGTCGGCATATTACACTGCCAAGAACATTCGTGCCACGCTGCACGACGACCGCCAGGTCGACTCGGACCCGTGCGGCGGCTCGCTCACGTTTGATTCGACCTGCGGCGTCGCTTCACAGCAGCAGCGAAATGGAACTTTGGACTTAATCCCGCCCGTGTGTTTGAAAAACGACATCGTGCTTGAGTTTGAGCTGCCTTTGGAAAGCTCCACGACCAGCGGTGCCAACTCCGGTAGCTCGAACGACCAAGCGTCGCTGGGAAGCCTTCTCGACAGTCTTTGCTTTGACAATGGCGACCTGATGCATTATATGCAACTCCAAAAGCGCACGGCACTCCAAACGCATCCCATTCAAACCGTGTTTCAAGTATTCGAGCCGTACTTTGACGCCCTTGAAGGGTACCCGACGCTGGAACGGGCCGATTTCGAAACGTGTGTGGACCATCTCCTATTTCCAAACATCTCTGCCAGCCACCAGCAACCCACTACCGCAACGGCTTCACCTTGTTGTATCACCAAACAATCGCTGTCGGACGAATTTGATCGGCTGAATGTGGACGACGATGACGCCGACTCGGCGACGACCAAAACAGACACTGTGTGCCGTATACTGCAACGGCAGGAAGGGCTCGAAATGCTGGAAGCGCTCTTTTTCGCGTACAATCGCTCTGGTACGGGCAAAATCGATGCGACGGAATTCGTGTCGGGGTTTCTCGTCCTTTGCGCTGGCTCGAAGAGCGACAAGCTGTCGTTTTGTTTTGGGTTGTTTGACGAAGACGGCGACGGGTGTCTGACTCGCCGTGAAATGTGGAAGTTCCTTCGGTCGTTCCTCACCATGCTTCTTGCTCTGGGCAACGGCGCTGACTGCTCGCCGGAAGTGATCGGCGCTGTCTGTGACGCGGCTTGCATCGGGATTGCTCGCTCGCTGTTCACCGATCCCACATTGAGTCAAGGGGCATCGGACGCTGTTCCGGTCAGCAAGGTTTCGTTCGAAGCGTTTGCCGATTGGTATTCGTATAAAGGGTTTCAAATCATTCCGTGGATCGAACTCCTCGACACGCGAAAGTGGCCGCTGGTCGACCCCACTATCGCAGTGGCTGTTCAAGCGGCAGCGGCCCTGGCCACCGCGCCCCCTCCTTCTACCTATTCCGTTTCATCCGGCCATCCTTCAAGCAGCTGTCCTACCTCGTCGTCGCTACCGAACGATGGAGCTCCATTGTCGACGCAGGCGGTTTCTAGCTCGTATCAAGACAAGCCGTCCGCAACATCGTCGTCGTCGGCCATTGTGTTTCAGTTCAAATTGACTACGTACGATAACACCACGTTGCGCATTCGACTGCGGGATGTCGCTGTTGTGTACACGATTGCGGAAAAGCTGCGGCTCAAATCGATCGGCGTCGACGCTCTGTACGACGGGTTCGATCGGTTCACAAGAGGCAAGTCGCTGTCCAAGTCAGGGTTCCTCCACGCGATTCGCAGTTTGGCGCCAAGAGGCAACTTGTCAAGCGAAGACCAGGAGTTTTTGAGTTACCATTTGCTGCGCATCTTTAGTTTGTACGAGACCGAGAGCGCCACGAACGACGACGAGGGCATCGACGACAGCGGCACTTCAGGGGTCGCCGTCGACAAGCTGCACCTGATCAGCGGCATGAGCTTGTTTTGTCATGGCTCGAAAAGCACCAAGTTGGGGATGCTCTTTTCGCTGTTTGACACGCACCGTGACGGCAGCGTGAGTCGTCGGGCGCTGTTTGAGCTGTTGAAGAGCGTTCTGTCGATCTTGTTTTCGTTTTCACTCGGGGATTGCAGTGGCGGGTCCAGTCTCCAAGCCAACGTATTTGCAGCCGAGCGAGCGGCCGGCGTGTTGGTCTCCAAGGTATTTTGTGATGTGCAATCGAGCGCGAGCATTAGTTTGGGCGCGTTCGCCGACTGGTACACGGCGCGCGGCGGGTACGAGCTGTGTCCGTGGCTGGAGCTCCTGGACTTGAACAAGTGGCCGACTAAAGAAGCAATGGAGGCGAGCACGCGGGAGAAACCCCTCTCGTATGCGTTTGACATGCACGAAGAGGGGAGTTTGCTCCATTACACGGAAAAGGACATCGAAACTTACTTGGCCGTGCTCGAAGCGACGCAGTTCCACCGCCTTGCGGTTCCGACCATCCACGACGCCATCGTTCGAGCGGCGCGCCCCGTGACCCACGACAACGGCCTTGTCGTAACGAGGTCAAGCTTTTACAGCTGCATTCGCAAGCTGATCCCACGTACGAGCGTCAACGAAGAAGGTCAGCAGGTCGCGTCGCGGATGCTGGCGCGGCTCTTTAGCGCATACGACCGAAAAAAGGTCGGCAAAGTCAACGCAGTCGAGCTGGCGTGTGGCATGAGCATGCTTGGGATGGGATCCAAGAGCCAGAAATTGTCCAGCGCCTTCGATTTGATCGTGAAGCTGAATATGCGGAAAGCATCGAGCCGCGCAACCGCCGCGATTCCACACGCGATGCTCTTCCTCTACCTCCGCTCCTTCCTCGTCGCGCTCATGGTGCTTTGCGAAAAGCGGTATCGCCGCGGTATCGAGCAAATGTACGTGGAAGCGGACGAGGTCATTGGGGACGTCACAACCAAGCTTCTTCACGAGGTTACCCTCGCTGCGCACACTAGTCTCCGCACGCGCAACAGAGTTTCGTTTGAGCAATTTGGCGAATGGTACAACTCGGGAGGGTACGAGACCGTGTCGTGGGTCGAGCTCCTCGATGTGTCCAAGTGGCAGCGCCCTCCGAGAGAGTCGCCCGAATCCTCGTGGGATGAAAACGACGGCGTGCGCGCCAGCGACATCGGTCTAGATGCTCATCCATCCGATTCTCCTTCAAGTACCCCCTTGCTGCGGTACCAAGTCGCCGCGTCCGAGCTCGTGTACACGCAGGCCCACATCCACGCGCTCGGCGAATGTCTCACGCACGTTGAGCTGCACCTGTACTCGCCCTTCCAACTCATCACGGTGATCAAGACGTTCTTGACGAAGCGGCAGGCTCCGTCCACAAATCTCCTGTCACCCACCGTCCATTTGGAACTGACGAGGGAGCAGTGCCAAGGCAGCATCCTTCAGCTTTGTCCCAAACACGCCCATTGCACGAACCGGTACGTCGGTGCGTTTGTGGACCACTTGTTTTGTGTGCTGGAAAATCCCCAAACCCAAAAAGTGCTCCTTGTCCACGTCCTATGTGGCCTTTTGGTCTTTACAGACGGCAACCTGCTCGACATCCTCGTCCATGGCTCCGCCCTGCTCAGCTACACACTGTCGAATTCGTTTTCGGAGCAACAACAGTTTGACGAGACGACAGCCCATCATGTCGTGCCGTGGAATGCACTGCGCCAGTGCCTTGAAATCTTCTTGAAGGCACTGTTTGCGTGCAGCCAGTCGCTGGATCGAGTGGGCGGCGTCGAGGACGTTGCCACAGTCGCCTCGGCTGGCGCGGACGAAACGATCAGCTTTTACCAAGACGTGTACGGCGATGACAGTGCGACTGTGTCGTGCGAAGCGTTCCACGACTGGTTTGAGGCGGAAGGGATCAAGAGTTTACCGTGGCTCGGGCTTGTCGTGCTGGAGAACTGGCCCCACTTGCTCCCCCTCGATCTTTCCAATCGTCGGGCAAAGACCCATCACTTGTAACAACTCGATTCTTTACCGCGTTTGCACGTTCACCACGGATGACGCTTTCGATGTTGTGGTCGAGCTTTCCACAATGCACGCTGTCATTTATCAAGCGTGCAAAGTGTCAAAGGCCCACATGCATTAGGTACGGTCTCGACAGCTCTTCGCGTGAGGCACGGGGGATGCACGGCGTCGGAGGCTAGGATGTTAGCACACTGCTTCGAGGTCGTGGATAGATGTCCACACTCGCAAGAATTCCTTCTCATGCAGCCTCACATGTCTCGAAACCAACTTGTACGAATCTATCTTTCCACGCAACGAAGCCTTGGGCCACATGCAAAAGTGGATGACTCGATACCGCTTGGATTCACTTTAAAGGGACTTGCCGTTGTAAGTAAACTTGGACGCAGACGCCGTGCGAGGGTCCACACCGCTGCCGTCGTCAGCCAGTTCTTTCAGAAAGCTCTCGGAATTGTGGATTTGTGGGCCGCCCAGGATGACGCGCTGACCCTGCGGCGCCAACTTGACGTTGAGCTCGGCGACTTTAAGCGATTCTTCAAACGTAACCCCGCCCGCGATGTACACGATCACGTCTTTCAGCTTTTTCGGCAGTGGAGTCGCCGACTGGATGCCACCAAACGCACTGGGCTCCAACGTCCCCTTGAACAAGTTGTCGAGCGTCTTCATCAGCGGCGGCACGTGCTGCGTCAGGACGCAACTCACTCCCTGCATGCCTTGGGTGACTTGAGTCACGGCTTTCATGAACTTGTTCAAGCCCTTTTCGCCAAATAGGTCGCCGCCCCGCGCCGCCGCCCCGCCATACGCGAGCGCCGCTTGAATCGGTTCCCACGCCACTTGGTTTTCCGTGCACAGTTCCTTTAAGCTCTTAAGCGAGCTCGGCGACTCATATCGCAACGCGTACAGCAAAGCCAAGCGAACTTTGTTGATCGGCCGAATCGCCGCTTTCCTCAACCGCAGCGTGAGCTCTCGCCAGTGGGTCGAGCTGTCGTCGTTGCACGCAATGTCTTGCTCGAGCGTGCTGATATCCATGAGCCCTTGGACTTCAATGAGGCGGTTGAGTTCGCCCATGAGTGCCACGTGCTTGGAGACGGTCACCGACTGCGCGCGGAACTCGGCGTACTTGTCCACGAAGCGCTGCATGTCTTCGATGCTCTCGATGCTTTCGTTCTGCTTTGTCGCGACTTTGTACTGGTCGACGAGACCCTTGACCGCAAGACAAATCTCGCCAAAGTTGGCGTGCATGTGTTGTGCAAAGAAAGAATCGGACGTCACGCTCAGCACGACCTGCTTCATGTCGTCCCGAATCCCCGGTGCATTTTCCAAGTTCACGCGGTTCTCAAATAGACCGAGGAGCTCGTGCACCATCGCTTGATACGTCCACTGGCTCAGGAGCGGCGTGATCGGGTCATCTTTACGGTCCAAAATGAGCAGCACGGGTGGAATCGACGGCTGGCGAAAGTCAAAAAGCCCATCTTCGTGCTGCATGCGGGTCGCAACGTCGCGCGCCATCTTCTCGGCTATGTCCGATTTCTTCGCGAACCGGACGATGGGCTTCTTCTTCATCGAGAGCAGCAGCGCCGTCAACCCGTCCATGTTGCGCTGGTACACTGCGGCGGTCCTAGGCGACATGTTGACCAGGTTCGTCGCCTTCAAGCTCAACGCGACAGCACCGGTCACGTTGAAATGGAACAAGTTGTCGTTCACAGCCATGTAGTCCACGTAGAATTCCTGCACCTGCGACACGACTTCGTTCTCGTCGGCCTCCGCGAGCCGCTCCAAAATGTCATTCGACGTGATATTTGTGAAAAAGATGTGGTATTCGCCGTACTTGGGCGATTTGAGCTCCGTCTTGAGAAGCTCCATGTTTCGAATCGTTGGGCGGATAAGGACAGCTGCCTTCAAGTGCACCATCTTCTCGTGTGCGTTCGCCCCCAGTTGCTCGACGAGGAAGACTTGTTTCTCCAGGATTTGGCTCTGACTGACCACCATGCTGATGATCTTGGTTGTTTCAGCATCCAGCAGGAGTGCTTTCATTCCCTCCAGCTGGCTGTCACCCAATATCTTGTCGATGTAACTCTTCACGGCGCCTATCGCGTCCATCGTCGCCGGGTTGCTCATGGCGTCGCTCCGTTCTCTTCTGTGCTCTTTTACAACCGAACTCACGTATCCGAACAGATCCTTCGTATCCGGATTTCCCCAGCGACGATCCCATCGCTATTTATAGCATCGCCACACTAATTACACGCATTCCAAAATAGTGTACGATTTTGCACTCCCTGCTCGACGCGACGTGCCGCGCCGCGGTCGGAATCGCCAGCGCCAAGATCAACATGCACAAAGCTGCAGGTGTGTGCAGAATGGTATTGTGGTTTTAATTCTACTGATACCATCCCGCTCTCGCGACGAGTCACTACCAGTTGTCAAAGTTTGAAAACGACGACGTCACTGGCGCTGCTTTGCCCTTTTTGGCGATGGGAGGGTCGTCGTCCCCAATTGCTGCGGCACTTTTCTTCTTGGTGGGTGCGGCCGGTGGAATCTTCAAGTACTTGCCGACCCCGGAATTTGCAGATGCCGCTTGGACGGGAACCACAGGCATGTCGACCATGCCGTCGTACGCGATCTACACGCATGCATTGGATGGCATCGACGACTTGCAGATTCGACAAAGCATTACCCAGTCGTCTCCAACTTTGATGACAGTCCCTTGGACGACGGGAGCCTCTTCCTTTCGCTTTACGTCTTCGACCTACGTTTTCCCGGTCAGAATGAATTCATCGGGTAAGATGCATGCAATGGATGCATTGACGAACCGTGAGGCCCTGGTTTTCGGCCTCTTCGTACTGCGCAAACGGATTCTCAAACACAACGACGTTCTGGATTTGCACTTTGTCGTAAGGGCGATCGTTCTTGTCGGTCGAAAGCGCTTCGATCTCGTCGAGCACTTCCATCCCACCGACGACTCTGTACACAGGATAAGCTTCCACGAGATCGAGCGATAGAGTACCGGCCAAACACAGAGTGCTTGTTATCCAAGTAGTGGCACGCTTTGAACGTGATGAAAAACTGCGAATTGTTTGTGTTCGACCCAGAATTTGCCATGCTGAGGACTCCTCGCTTGCTGTGCAACTACGGCAGCAACGTCATGTCCGTTCCACGTAGTCCAGCCAGCAGCGACGACTACAACGCGTACCAAGCGACTGTCAAACTCGTCCTTGAATGGCGCGCCCCAAATGGACTCACCGCCTTGGCCGGTCCCGCTTGGGTCACCCCCTTGCATCTACAAAAACAATCAGGTCACCAAATGTCGCCAATGCCTTCCGAGAGTGACAGCGCTGCAACTAAATCGCATTCGCCCGTAGCACTCCAGCACGAAGAAGAGCTGTTCGATGACCGCCGCGACGATAGCATGCAGCTGGCCACGTACCATGAAGCCTCGAATGATGCGATGGAAGATGACCCCGTTGTAATAGCCCTTGGCGCATAGCCCAAGAAAATTATCGCACGTGCGCGGAACGAAATCGCAGTCCAACTATCGTGGCGATTACATCCGACAGCAAAGGAACGCTCGTGAAAACGATATGTGCCCACGACATACTTCCAAGTTGATGGCGCCAAAGTTGGTCACCAACCGAACGTAGCCCTTCTTCTTGAGCTTCTTCACATTCGCCCACCGCGTTTCGAGCACTTCGGCTTCAGTTGCCAAGGCCGCTTGGCTTCGAGTGGACTGCAACGTGCCCTCAGACGATCCCGTGGCATGTCAAGAACGTACTGGGTCCATCATCGTGGACGTGAATGACTGGGACATTTTCCCGTCCGTGAACTTGGAATACTTCAGCCAAAGAAAGGTCAGTGGTCGCCTCCAACGCATGCCGTACCTGGAGTTTGCCGTTCTTCCCAGGTGTTGGCGTGGTGTCAGCGCTGGCATGAGAGACTGACGCCGCAATACGTTCTTCCTCGGTCTGCTTCGTCTTGTCTTGCTTGAGCTCTTCCTCGCGCTTGCGCTTGAGCGCTTTAGCAGCTTCCATCTGCCCCAACCATCACTTGTTCAAAGAACGTTCACCGACTCAAAGCATGAGCACCTCCTGGAAGATACGTGCAGTGGCTGACGAGACGCGAATGGTCTGATGCTCTTGTTTCCCGACGTCTTGCTTCTACATGCGGCGCATTCAAGCGACGGTGTCTAATGGAGTCGAGTCTCCATTAGTCTCACCGTCTTTTCGTTCTCTTTCGCCCGACGAAAGTGCTCGAACGAGTCGATCTCGCGGTTGCCTAGATCCGCAGGGTCCTGTAAAATGATAATGTCCTTGCGCTTGAATTCTTCGCCTGTCATGAGGTCCTAATGAATATGTGAATGGCAAGCAAGAGAGAACAATGCGCCGTACATGCCAATTTTTGGACTTGATGTTGAGCTCCTCCAAAGCGTCGAATGCATACACGTTGCCGGACGTAGCAACGGCCGCGATTTTCGTGCTGTTCGTAAACACACGGTATGTGATGGGACATGCGTATTCGCCTTCAGGATTCTTGTGGAAGTGCAGCTATGCAGTGGGAATGAGGCATCCGACGAGGGGGGGGCAGTTTGTACACGAATCAAGTCCTTTACGGTCAAGGTTTCACCTGTGACTGGATTCTAACGAGCAAGTCAGAAAACAACTGCAAGTCGTGGGGAATGGCCGTACGATGCCGTGTTCTTTAACGTAGGGAATGACCGCTTCAATGTCAAATAAGTGTCCTTGCCTTGTGCACACAGGATTCTACGAGGTAGCACCACGGTGGTTCGGATGAAACGTGGCCCTAACGGATCTCGCACTTACCTTGAATGGCGTGAGCGTGATGGCGCAACAATCGAACGGCAAGCCTACACATCGACGTCTCATTCCAAGCCTCATGCAAGCAACATCTTGCCGACTGAAACAACGTACGACGGTAGGCAGTCTTGACTGCATCTTTCTTTCCCCCATACAGGTACTTGTGCTCGGAAGCCGTGATGAACATGCGATCTTTGCTGTGTTGGTTCTTCCCCATCGTTCATGCGGCGGCGCGGGAGGACTGGCAAATTTGACAATAACAAATGAGCCAATCAAATTACAATAAAATCAATATTATCATCCAATAATATTGCTTCAAAGTCCAAGGATAAAGCGTCGACAAATTCGAAGGAACTAGGAAAGGTGGGTTTGTGGGCCTGAAGAGGAGAGGCTCGAATGTGCCCGCTGGCTCATTCGCACAGCGCGGCTGAAGGGATAGGAAGCGAGTGTCCATGACAAGCCTCCGTCGTACGATAATCTCACAAAATCGCAGGAACGTGTGACGTCGCAAGGCTAAACACACAAGGGCAGGAAAAGTGAAGCAACCAATTCGCTCAACGACCTTGGAGAAACTTGGTTGCGTGCTCGGCCGCCGAAAATGATATGGTGACCAGAGACTGACACAAGATTTGCCTTGCAGTGCTTTTGGACTATTTCAACTATAAAGTGGCGGAGAACCTTGGCCTGTCGAGGTGAAGCCGATTATTCAGTGGCCTTGACAACAGGGGCGGACTTGGGCTTGCAAGCCCGCTTGTGGCCAGCCTTCCAGTCCTCAGTTTGGCATTCCTTGGAGCAGTAACGCACGCACAAGCATCGGGCGCAAGCAGTCTTAGCATCAGCGCCACAAGCGTAGCAGCCACCTTTGCCGGTCACATGTTGGATGAATCTATACAACCACTTAGAATAAGCAGATGAATGAGCGGTTACGACCTACCCAAGCTTGCGCAAATCCTTCCACGTTTCGCTGGGTTCGGCGCTCGTTTGGGTGTGGTACATATCACAGAAACCACGCTACATTCCTGATGAGCACCAAGATACCGTGCTTTCCCTGAGGGACCTACCTGGGTCAAACCCTTGTTTTCGTCACAGTCAAAGTACATGTGGATTTCGTTCAATTCCTTGGCGGTGAATCCCTTGCCGTCGTTGCACGCCTTGGAAAAGTTGTTCAATTGGTCCGACGTTAGAGCGTTCGTGCCTTCCGAGAATTTCTGGAAGATGCGCTTCAATACGTGGATGAACGCAGGGGTTAACTCCCCCCTGTCCGAGATGAGGAGGGATCGGGGGAGTTCGTGTTCTTTTGCTGGGGCGGCGGCTGGCTTAGCGGCTTTGGCAGGCATGGGGGTCGGTGCGGATGGGGAAATCGCGAAATGAAACAACACACGTGTCATGCAGAGGCGGTATCGAATATCGATTTTGGCAGTGAGAACCTTTCTAAAGCGATAATGAAACTGAATTCCGTCGCCATTGGCACTTCGATGTGATGATAAACCTTTGACATTTCATATCCGGTTAAACAGCATCTACATGTACGGATACGGCCATGAAAACCCATGGATTGTGTTACAAATTTGACCAACTTCAACGTCGGTCGACAAGGGGTAGGGAACCCAAAGGGCGCTGCTCTCTGCCGCCGCCGACAGCAGCATCTTCGCGACCGAGTAGCGGGGTGCATGGATGCATCCTCTCAATGCTACTTCATGATCTCTTGGCTCTAGACCATGAAGGAGTTGCCCATGGCTTGAGTGAGAGAAAGGCATCCCTTTCCTGTGTTCGGTTGCAATCCCAGCAGCGGGTGGCACGTCGCAAGCTCAGGGCGTAGCTACTGCTACGAGCGGTAGTATCTCTAAAGAGCTTCGATGATCCAACGCTTCGCGCTTGTTGTGATTCGGAACAGATCCAAGATAAATAAGTCATGGTCCAAAATACCCTTCAGTCCGAAGTCCAGGTCGACCTAAATTTACCCCACGAAAGTACACGTTACGTGGTGTGGCAGAAGTGAGCTAGGAATGGGAGGAGAATCGCCGCAAAAGCGGCGGCTAACCGCCTCGAATGAGCCTGTCGACATGGCAAAATCGATCAGTGGAAAACACACCTCATTGCCGAACGCGTTGCCGGCCCTGAACAAACGTGGGCGCGACATGGCGGTCAAGGTTTTGCCGGACGCCCCGACCACCACATTGCCCGAAGTGAACCCGACGCCGTCTACGGCTGGATCAAATGGAGCGGCCAGTTCCCCTGGAAAGAAACCATCCGAGGCATCGCCAAAGAAAGTTACGCCTCAAGCAGCTCCGGGGAAGCGGCACAAATCAATTCTCCAAGTGTCGCGATCGAAGAAAACAGGTACACCCGATAGCTCTCCTCAGGACATGCAAATCAATTCGCCGCCGCATCCTCGCCCGATCATGAGTCTTGTGGACGTTGCCAGCTCACAACCGTCGGTCCTGTCGTAGGAGATATCGTGCTTGAATCCCAGCAGACCATTGACACCGTCATCAAGTACCAAAGTACGAGGCCTACGTTCCGTCATGGACGGCTCATGGGGTGATAGTGGGGCAGTGCGAGCTGCGGAAGCTCAAGGATGTGTTCAACTACATCGATGCCGAGTACGTGTCGTTCTGTTCCAATTCGAGGGGGATGACGCGTGTCCAAGCCGCGTGGGTCAAATTTCGTACGAAGAATTTTTCGAATTCATCGACGAGAATCGCAACCCGTACTCGGAGAGCCTCTTTCGCCTCATCGGTACAGCGCACTTGAAGCACTTGATACCGACTGGCCTGCCTCGTCGTAGATGCCGACCGCAGCGGCACGGTACGCACGTCCGTCCATCATCCAACGCCGAGCCAAACTGCAAGGACGAAAGGTTCTTCACCCCACGGGCATGTCCATGTTGTAGATCGACTTTGAAGAATTTGTCCACGCGCTCACGACGTATTGCATGTTCACAAGAGAAGAAATCCTCCAATGTTCGATCTCCCCCTTGAACGGCGACTGTGATGGAATATGTCGTGCCTAGTTGCATTCAGAACGTTCGACGACGACGACAGCGGTAGCATTGACGAGGTCTGTCCGTCGCATGCATCCATTATGTTTCGCCGCGGCGGAGCTTGCAGATTTTGTGGAGAGCGCCAGCTGACTTGTGGTGCCAGTCCGAGTTTGCCAAGCTGGCCAACATGGTCAACGATGGCAAGCCTCTCTTCTCGGGCAACTTCAATCGCGCGCTCAAGGAATTTGACAAGTCTGGCGTCCACGCAACTTCTTCGCTCTGTTGTTCATGTTGGCGCTGTAGAAAAAACGAAGGCGTGATCGATTTTGCCGGGTTCGACTTGCTCAATCGACGGTACCCGATGATTCTGTTTCCTTGCTTCCGCCTCCAAGACCGCATCCAAAAAGCAACGCTGGGCGAAGCGCACTGGCTGCGGATCCACAAGCGGTACTACGACATGCTCAAAGATGAGCAGTTCCGGGTACGAAAGGACAACTTCATGGCGCTGCACGAACAACGTGGTGACTTGGCTCGCCGTAGAAAAAACACGGCGGCGCCGCCCCGCCAGTGTCCACCACGACCAAGCTCAAACTCATCTTTGGCGTTGGCACGTTTGAAGTTTATCAGCCTGAATGAATTTGTTGCCGTATCCGTTCCGCGAAAGAGCAAGACATCTGTGGGAGTGGCTTTCGGCTCCTGCAACGTATCATGGCGGGGCTAACGCCGGTCGCCCTTCATCACAATGCTGGAGAGAGGCACGACGTTGCCGCCATTCGCAACGTATTCAAAGTACTCGACAGGCTCTGGGCCTCGCAAAGGCAGCTGCTTCACGTCTTGGACATGGCACCACGTGGCACCGGCGCTTTCGTAATCGGGGATGGACTTTGGTTTTTGAAGGTTGTCCAGGGGCTCGGCCAGGAAAACGAACCGCATGCGCACGTACTCGCGCCCGGACGAGTCGACTTTTGGATGGTACTCAAGCCGAAGAAGTCCTGTCAGTCGCACGTCTAGGCCGGCTTCTTCCTTGGTCTCGCGAATCGCGGCGGCTTCGGGAGTTTCGCCCGCGTCGACCCGGCCCCCTGGCAACCAGTAGCCCGAGCAAGCAAATTCTTGGACGAGCAGAAAGAGCTTCGTGAGCGGATGGCGACACACGACCAGCGCAAAACAGTATAGGGTCGAATCGGGGTTGCGGAATTCACTGGGAAGGTCACCGCGGCCGGGCGGACCATGTGCATTGTGAAGGTGAACTTGGAATGGTGCGGATGCCCTGTACGCTTTCCCGTGCTTCTCGGAGCAGATGGGGCACGCGATATCCGTTCGGTTCTTTTCGTTGATGTGGTGGAGAGGACAGTGGATCCAAAGTGCGTCTTCTGTCAACCCGGACTTGCCGCAGAAAGGACATGGATATAGAAGGGTCCGTCGAGACGAGTGGTTTTGACTGCGGTTGTCGGCGTCCTCTTCTTGCGCCAGTTTGCCGAGCACAGTTGTTAGATCGTCCACAGAGCTCGTGACCATCGACGCACCGTCCCCAAAGCACCGATACCGTTGCATGGCATGATCGGCCACGTGCGCCGAAAACACGCACAGGAAGAGTTGTTGACTCACTTGCCGCAACGCACGCAAGATCTTCAAGAGAGCATCCATGGGATAGGTAGCGACGACTCGCAGAATCACCAAGTGGACTTTGTGCAACGTGGGTTGTGTGAACGTTTGCAGGAGTTGGGTGGCTGCGTCTTCCGCCGTACAAACTTGCACACGCAGGCCATGTCGATTGCACGCAGAAACACACGATTCCTCGATTGTATCTAACGGGGGCGGGTTACGTGCCGAGAAGGTCCCTCCACTCCGAGAGGCAAGGCATCGCACGAGGATACTAGTGTGCGCCGTTGCATGATGGCTCATCGCCTTCGTGGCACCAATTCATATGAATGACGCCCATTTTTACTTGAATTGCCAAGAATTCACGATATTTTGCGTGCAAAATATCCCAAATATCTAGGCATATTATGATGACGAGTACACCGCTGGAATAAAATTTTGGAAAAATTCCACAATATTCCTACATTTTCTTGGAAAAAACGCTCTCATACTGTGGCCGAAATACAGGCAACAAGGGCAGGGTTGGCGATGCTTGGGAAGACGTCGTCGAAGGCACTTCACGAGGGGCTTCCACCTTAATGGCGACCGGCGGTAAGGGAGGTTCGTCGGGTTTCCAGTCTCCATGGTTCGCATGGACGGGTGCAGGTGGAGGTGAATCTCGGTGGTCGTCTGTAGTCACTTCCACCGTCGAGTGTTCCTTTCGCTTTCTCTTACGGGAGGCAGCAGAAGCATCCTACTCCCAGTCATTCTCGATGCTCCGAGCGAACGATGGAGGTTCGCGTACCTGCACATTCGTCGTTAGAGGGGCAACGGCCGACTCTGGTTCAGGGACCGGTGCAACTTGCGGTGGTGGTGGCGCGATTGCAGCGTTGTAGGAAACTTGAGCTTGGAGCGAAACATACCGATCGGTCAAAGGCGTGGCGGGAAGGCGACTGTACCCTCCTCCTTTGCCCCCGTCTGCATTCGACGCGATCAGTACGTTGTTGTCAGCTTCCTCTCACCTGCTTTAGACCAATCAAACACTGGGCATCGCGGGCACTTCATGTTCCAGCACACTCCATTCAGTTCCTACGACGTCGCCGTTAATATTTCAATGCACAGTTCGCCGCGTAACACCCATGCTTCACCTGCTTCTCGACGCCGCAGAGCTCACACGACGGCAGGACAAACAAGTCCACAACATCCGCCAACGTGTCGACGTCCACGGCGGTCCGCAGCCGGCTGTCCAGGATCGCTTGCCACTCCATGAGATTCGGTCGCATTTTGATCTTGTCCCGGCGGCGCATCACGTGTTTTTTTACTTGGTCCTGAAACATGGCGTACCGCTGGGTCGTGATACCCTACACAAACCCGACCGAGCGACTCAATTGTTAGTCGAACTAGTCGCGCATTGCTGTCGCCAACACATGCAAGGCGTACCATCAACACGACGCCATCGGGGAGGTTGAGCTTCGAGTTGTTGGCCTTGTTGGGACGGCGGTGGCGATGCTGGATCGTAAAGTCGTCTTCGATGAGCACGAGCTCTTGCTTCTTGAACACTTTGATGGTTTTGCTCGCGTTTTCGACCTCAACCGTGCACACGTCCCGATCTGCCTTTTTCACGACGCCCGTGCCTTGGTTCCCTGGCAAGTACACCTTTTTCTCAATCCAAGACTGGGCATAGTGACCGCGGCGCCGGAGGCCGCCGGAGCTCCCGGCGACGCGACTGCCGTGCTCCGACCCGCTGTCTTCGACGTCATCCAAGTCGTTGTCGTTCTCGAGTGTTGTGTCAGTGGACCCGCCATTGTCTCCTGCCGACCCAGACGACGCCTGCCGCTCAATCGAAGCAATCGACTCGAGCAGCGTGAGTTCGTACGCGCGCTTTGCCGTCGATTCGTGGCCGCCCTCCATTTTGAGTTGAACCCATCCGTTGCCTGACTTCAGCACGACCGCGGCCTGCCCCGAAAACTTGCCCACGTTGATACGGACCCGGCGCCCGATCCACAATTCCGTGTCCAGGTCCGACAGCAGCGACCCCGAGTCTTTCTTCTTTCCCTACGACTGTCGTGAGCGGGTGGTGGTGAGCGAAAGCCCACGCAGCACCTTGCGCTGGTGGCGGCTTGGCTCATCCTCGACGGTCTCGTCCTCTTCGTCTTCGTTGTCCCCATCCGACCCTTCGTCGTTGATCACATCCTTCGTCGATCCATTGTCTTCTTCCTCAGACATAGTCCCGCTCTCGTCGGGACTGTCGCGGCTAGCACTGTCCATCGAACTCCGTCGTCGGCGCAACGTCAAGTGCTTGCTCTGTTTGATCACAACGGTGGTCGGCGAGCCATCTTGCCGTTTCCGATCCAAGAGAACTTTGAACCCTCCGTTTGAAAGCACCTACTCAATCGATGAGTTCGTCATGAAAGGAAGGTGATCGTACGAACCTCCTGCACAACGCCTCGCTTGCCGTCATGGCCACGTAGGTCCGCCAGTTCGCGCTTTGTGGGGTCCACCAACTTGATTGTGACTTTGTCGTGTTTATCGAAGCGGTGGGTGTCGTCGGACGGTGGTGGCGGTGGCGGCGGCCCACCCGAGTCATGTTCGTCGTCGCTCGGGGGACCAAGATCGTGGTCTTCGGGGATTTCGCTCAGGTCGACATCATCGCCATCGGCTTGTGCATCCTTTAATAGCTTCAACCCTGAAGCTCGAAATGTGTGGATCTTTCCGCTACGGAATCGCACCCGGAACCACGTATTTGGATGGCGAGGAGTTTCCACAATCACGCCAATCTTATGGACCATTTGGGGCAAACGTTGCTCGACGTCCGTGGTTCGTTGCACAACCACTTTGACCGTTCGGCGCAGTCCATTGCTTTCTGCAGTGCCCATTACATACGGCTTCTTAGCTGGGGCTGACGTCGTCGTTGTGGTAGTTGATGGGTCATTGGCAGAGGTCAATGTAGATGTCGTGGAGTCCGAGAGGCCGCCATCCTCGTCCTCCATGTCATCATCCCCACCACTCTTCATGGAAACTGAAGAAGTGGAACGTGTCCGCGATCGCATGATTCGAGATGGCGCACCTGTTGACGAAGATGTTGCAGGCGACGACACCGACGTCTGGTCGGCGTATGAGGTGTTGGGCGAGCCAGAGTTGTCTGACACGTTCACCTCATTGTCAGGGTCACCTGTGCCATTGGCGTGTCTCGTGGTACTGTCAAGGGTGTCGCTGTCCATTACAACGGAGATGGTTGCCATGCTCGCTGCGCGCTGCCACTCGGGGTTGCGGAAGAAACGATGGACTCAAGGGTAATGTGGGATTTTGGGTTTCCGAAAAACCTGGCACCCCAAACGTTTATCTTGGATTCACTATGCCTGATGCACTAGCATTTCACCTCTTTAAGCACATACCATAGCCTAATCCTCATGAAACCTTATTTTCATCATTCGGTTCCAAGGTGAGTCTATCCGGATAAAACGCTTAACATCGATACTGTAAATCGTGCGCGTTTCCAGTCACACACACTATTTTCATGTCAGATCAAACTACTGATTTCCCCCCGCTAGCCGAACGGGGTTTACTTTATAATTTTTAGAAATGAATATTATTGAACGTGAGATGTATTTCAAACTTTCAATCGAACTTGCAAATCAAAATTGCGAAGTACAATCAACATGAAGCTCCGGATGACACTTGTGGAGAAGCATGAACTATACGCCAGGCACATAAGCCA